CACCACTAGTAAATGTCAAGTGTTTAGTCTGAGGCTGGATTTGAACTCAGGTCCTCCTGACTTCAGGACTGGTGCTCCATCCAGTGCACCACCTAACTGCCCCCTCACTCATTCTTCTGCACTTAGTGTTTTCTTCAGTGTACCCAAAGATGGAATTGGTGGGGAGTCATAGCCAAAGGATTCTGGTGTCATAGACCAAGGCAGCTCCTAGTGATTTTGTCTCAGTTCAACACATTCACTTATTGGCGGGATTTGTTGTGAAACACCTTTCATTAAAATTTGCCTGTGGGCCCTTCAGCGTCCCAGATGGCAGCGATGGATGCCTTAGCTATGGTAGGACCTGTGAGCAAATGCCACTGACTCCCCCGTAGGTCTCCAGCATGCTCTTGCTTGGGGACCAGTTGCCATGGCTTCAATGAGCATCTCTATTGCAAATGACTCAAAGATCTACTTGACTTGCCTCAACCTTTCTTCTGACCACCAGTCTCTTATTTCAACTGTCTATTACATAACTCAAATTGAACGACCAATAGACATCTTCGATGGAACATGACCAAAATTGAATGCGTTCTCTTTCCCTCCAAACCTTCTTGTTTTCCAAACTTTCCTATTACTATTGAGGGCATGACCACCCTCCTCCTTACCCAGGCTTGAAACCTAGGTGTCATCCTTGACTCCTCACTCTCTGCCCCTTGCCCCTATGGTCAATCTGTTGCCAAAATCTGCCAATTTTACTTTTGTGACATCTTTTGAATGTGCTCCCTTCTCTTTGATGCTGTCACCACCTTAGTGCCGTCCCTCATCACCTCTTAATTGGACTACTGAAACTACCTGTTGATTGGTTTTTCTGCCATGAGTCTCTCCCCATTCCAGTCTTTTCTCCACTGGACTGTCAAAGTGATTTTCCCAAGACTCTAGTCTATGTCACCACCCCCCTCCCCTTCAATAAACCACATTGGCTCCCTAGTGCCTCCAGGATCAAATATAAAATCTTATGGTTGGTACTTGAAGCCCTTTATAATGCGGCTGTCCCTGACCTGGTCAGTCTTCTTACACCTTCATCCCACCTCCGTGGAACCTGTGATTCAGTGACTTGGCCTCCTTGAACACGATGCTCCATTTCCAGACTACCGGGCATTTTTACTGGCTGCTCTTCGTGACTGGAACATTCTCCCTCCTCATCTCCTTTTGGTTTCTTGTCTTCCTTCAAGGACCAGCTAAAGTCCTCCCTTCCTGATCCTCCCGGAAGGTTCTAGTGCCTTCCTTCTGTTGATTATTTCCAACTTATCCTGTACATATCCCGTGTGCACGTAATCATTTGTATGTTGTCTCCCCCATTGGATTATAAGCTCTTTGGGAGCAGGGACTTTTTTTTCCCTTGCCTTTCTTTGTATCCCCCAGCACTTAGCATGGTGACTAGAACATAGTAGGCATTTAATAAATGCTTATTGACTGGTTGACTGCCACCCTGTTGGACGGAAGGACTGTTGAAATGTCCTTCCTTTAAGGCTTAGTTCAGGTGTATCTTCTGCAGGAAGAAATCCCTGTCTCCTCCCTCTCTCCCATACTCCAATCTCTTTCCTCATCTTTTCATTACATTTTATCCAGATACATCTTTTCCGTTATCACATTATTCCCTATACTACTCACATCCTACCTTTCTGTTAAATTGTGTGTTCCTCAAGGGCCCAGGTAGCTCATTTTGTTTCACACCTTTGTATACTCAAGGCTAAGCACATTGCTCTGTGTGTTATTGGCATCTAATTGTTGTTTGCTGAATTGAACCAGACCACTTCATCTGTGTCTCTCTTATGCACTGATCAGATCCTGCTTTGAATTGTAATGTTCCACCCATCCATGTCTCACATTCCTAGTAGACTGTGGACTTCAGTTGACCTACCTGTAAAATGGGGTTCATAATCACTGCCTATCCTTTTTCAGCAGGCAAGGTAACAGCATGATCCTATGATAATATCTTCTGTTTCTACCATATTGCTCCCTTTAAATTTGCTGTTTTTAAACATATCTCTGGTCTATAGCTTGATTTGGGCCTTTTCTGACACTTGGTATGTGTATTTTTATGTATCTCCTAACTACTCATTCATCTGTGCTGTCTACAAACATTTCTGTCTCTCCTATCCTTTAAAAAAACTTCTCACTAGTGTCTACCATTCCTCCTTAGCATCTTATATCTCTCTTCTCCTTCTCAACTAACTTCCTTGAAAAAGCCATCTTAGCATTCAGCTGAAACTGCTCTCTCCATGACTGAATCTGATGACCTCTTGTCAATCCCCATACTTCTTGACTTCTCAGTAACATCTGACACAGCTGGCCATCCCCCCTCTTAGATATTCTTTCCTCTCTGAGTTTTCATGGCACTATTCTTTCTTGGTCTTACTCTTACCTGATTGCTCTCACAGTCTCCTTTGCTGAATCTTAATCTATATGATGCCCACTAACTGTGAGTGTGCCCTAAGGTTCTGTCTTGGCCCCTCTTCTCTTTTCCCTGTACATTCTCTCACTGTGATCTCACATGACTCCCAGATCTATTTATGTGAAACCAGTCTCTATCCTGAGCACCAGTACCACATCACCAATAGTGGATACTGTTTCTACATGTCCCACAAGCATCTCAAATTTGTTGTGTCCAAAACAACTCATATTTCCTGCATGCCTCTTCTAAACTTCCTTAGTCCTGTCAAGAGCACCACCATCCTTTCAGAAACTTTAAGTTTACAACCTTAGACCAAACCCTACATGGAATCAGTTGTCAGATCTGTCTTCACAACTTCTATCCTTTCTCTCCATCCAAAAGGACTTGACTAGGTCCTCATCACCTCTTGCCTAGACTCTTGCAAAAGATTATTGTCCTCAAGTCTCTTCCTGTTCCAATTCATCCAATTCATCACACAGTTGATTTTCCTAAAATTCGGGTCTGATCCCTTGCTTAATAAATTCCAGTGGCTCCCTATTACCTCTGTCATCAAATAAAAACTCATGCTTGGCAGTTTAAAAACTCTTCACAACCTGGTCTCTTCCTAGCTTTCCCTCCACGTGCTATTCCTCAAACAGGATGCTCCATTTTTGACTGGCTAGTCCTTCTAGAACACTTTCCTTCCTCATCTCCCCTTCTCAGAATTTTGAGCTTCCTCCAAAACTCAGCTCAAGTGTCCTCCTTTCTAAGGCTACCTTTGTGTGTACATATGTATGTATGTGTATATATATTATATATACATATATATATATACATATATATATAAAACTTATATACACACACACACACACATTCACATGTATATATACAGCTTTTCTCCCACATTAGAAAGTAAGCACTTTGTTGGCAGAAACAGTTTTTGCTTTTTTTTTTTTGTATCTCAATGGCTGTCATGGGAAGTAGATTAGACATGTTATGCTCTACTCAGGTGGGGTGAAGTAGTATTAATAAGTGGGAATCATAAGCAGACAAATTTTGACACAATATAAGCAAATTTTTCCTGACTACTAGAGCTGTCCAATAATGGAACCGGCTGCGTTTGGAACTGAAATACCCACCATGGGAAGTATTGGAGCAGCAGCTCTCCTGCCCCACATCTCTTCCCCCAAATTCTGTAGAGGAGATTCCTACATAGGAAGAGAGATTGAACAAAGGTTTCTCCCAGCACTAAGACGCTGTGACAAGAAATATATTGAGATTGCTTTCTGTCACTGGGATGTTCTACAGACTTTTACATGCTCGGAAGAAACCTACTTGGTACAATTTCTCTCCACTATTTCCGAAGGCCCTACTGCCATTGATTTTTTTTTGTTTGCCGCGCTTCAGACTTGAGCTTCATACATTAGCATATAGATAGCAAGTTTCTTGGCTCCATCCCCGCCCCCCTTTTGTTGTTTTCTACCATTTTCCTTTATATGTGACTAAATGATTTTTGAAAATCTTTTTTTAAGTCTGAGGAAAGGGAAGAACATACATTCTTAAAGTCAGGCTTATATAGTATGGTGCCTTGGAAAGAGTCCTGAATGGGAACCAGGTCCCAAGTCCTTGTTCTATCCCTCTCTAGGCTGTTATGACTTTGAGCAAGACCATGACGACTTTGCCTTTTTTCCTCTGTAAATTGAGACTTAAAATCACCTGCCTTGTCTCACTCACACTATGTGAAGATGAAATGATATGATTGATGGAAAGTACTTTATAATGTTAAAGAGCTATACAAATGTCAACTGTTATTACAGATCTGAAAATATCCAAGATACAGAGAAGGGCAAATTCAATGATTATTCATATTCTTTTCTTTAGGAGGCCTCAATTTCTGTATTCATTTCAAGATTTAATTCTTTCTGTTGCTATAAACTGAATTGTAAAAGTTAAAGAACAAGAAAGACTATTCCCTTCAAGGTAATGACTCCCACTGGAAGTCAGAGAAGTGGGTGTAGCTAAAGTAGGAGGTTCTTTGTCAGTCTGATGCATGGTGTCTTTGAAATGCTTTTAGTGACCTCACAAGGATGGCATGAATATTATTAGCTTCTTAAACTTTCTGGAGGAAAAACTTCATCAGAGTCAAGATTTTAAGATCCAGTCCCAAGTGTAAGAGACAGTTGAAGACTCTAGCTTTCTCTGTGTGTGGGAATCATTTCAATATCTGAATGAACCGCTAATTCATGAACGCGATGAACGCCGTACGACAAGCTAGGATTTCTAAGCCAGAGAGCTAACCTCCCTCTCTAGCCTTCTATGTGTGTGGGAATCACCTCAACGTCTGACCGAACTGCTAATTCATGAATGCAATGAGTGCAACGCCACCAGCTAGGATTTCTAAAGCAGAGAACTTAGACTCCTTAGCAAAGCGCAGGAACATACAATCTGATTTGGGGAGAGTTGCCTTATGAGCCACCAGGCTCACTCATAGTTGAAAAGCTGTTCTTCCATGAGCATTGTTTTCCAGACAACAAACTCCAGGACATTGGCTCATTTACATTTCTGGGATGTTTTTATACAAAAAGTGAGAATTCCTTATTAAGATTTATTTTTTCTCTAATAACAGACAATTTAGCATTTTGAAGTTTTGCATTCTATACTCTTACACACTTTGCTTAGCATTAAAAACACAAAAGACACTGCAAGACCTCAAAACACAAATAAATACCAAATAAAACCACACACAATATACAATAAACAGAAATACAAAACATAATAATGCTATTGGAAAATTAAAACGTTGTTAATGACTATCAACAACATGGTTATTGCTGAGCAATAAATTATATCGTCTCTCTTTTTTTTTGTTTGTTTTTCGTTTGCTTTTAAACCTAGACGAGCAGAGAAACACAGTACATAAACCACTGGTTACCAGATCACTTGTACTGCCAAAAAAGTATCCTTATAGCTAATGTTACTACATATGATCATCTTTAAAACAGGCAGATTAGAAATACACAGTCAAATGAGATTGGCCTTCTTTGGTCTTTGTTTTTGGATAATAGAACTGAACACAACAAGTGTACCATTGGTGAAGTCAATGCAATTCCAAAAATGTTACACAATTTTTTACACTGATTTTTACATATGGTTCTTTGTCACTGATGTTCTTCCACAGATATTTCTTACAGAAGTCCTTGGAAATAATGTCCATTTTTATGTTTTCCAATTAAAAGTCACTTCATTTGTTGTTACAGGTTATCCTACTTGTCCAAGGGGAATAAGAGCAATCAAACCAGATCTGATATCAACCACTGCTAATTCTTGGAGTCTGATGCCACAATTAAAGAAATTCTGAAGTTTAACCTCTTTTTGTTTTTTTTTTCACCAAGACAGTGAAAACAATAGACTCCAAATATAGCAGCAATGAAGGAGATAAAATGAGCTGCAGGGTACCTTAGCAATTATGGACATTTGAACCCATTCTGTTGTTCTCCCAAACCAGATTGGGCAACTCTCTGCCAAGGGTGCAGGTCATAGTTGGAGAATCTGCCTTTTCAATCCTGGACTGAAATTCAAGTCATATCACATTCAATGAAGGAGAAGAGTTACCTAGAAATTCTTGTTGGCCTTTACTGATCTTCGTAAGAGCCTCAATTTATTATTGTTCTGATGCTTCTATTTTTCTTCACTTATGACATTTAAAAAATCCTTTAAAAATCTGGTGGTGTAATAATGTATGACAAAGACCTTTTTAAAATTCAATAAATATTTATTCAGTGCTCACTGTGTGCAAGGCACTGGACTAAGGAGTCATGAGACACACAACAATGACCAGGACAGAGCCCTAACCCCCGATGAGCTTATAGCCTAAGAAAAAGACAAATCCCCGGAAATACTATTTCCTCCAAGAAGCATTCCTGGACATCCTTCTTTCCTGAAGGGAACTCTCCACCTCAAATTTCTCTGTGCTTAGAACTTCCCTTCGCACACATCTGACTCTTCCTAGCATAACAGTTGTTTGTGGACTTGCCTTTCTTCCCCATTAGACTGTAAACTCCTTGGGAACGTCTACGTCACGTCCATCTTTGGATCTCTAACATCTAGCACAGTCTCTTGCACGGCATAGGTGCTTAATAAATTACTAGAGATAAATGTTGCCATCATAACCAACAATAGTGAGATAGCCAACCTATTCAGTATTTCCAAAGATCAAACTCTCAACTGAAATTCACCTGGCTTAAACCCTAACAAATTAACCCTACTCTGGAGAAAACCGCATGCAAGATGTTATAGCTTTTGAAATGGAAGACAAAAACTACAATCATGGGTCAAGAAATAAGAGATTTGGAGAACAGATCCCACATTCATCTCATAACTGCTACACGTTTTAAGTGAGTTCCCTGAATTTTCCTCTTCCTGATAATCTAAGGACTAAAAGATCTGCACTACATGTTAAAAAATATTGTTTTACAGCTATAGTTCAGCCCTTTTCAACATTTTAATGTTTCACCTCCCTCCATTAGAGCCCCATCCTGATGCCTTATTGTGACATGGAGGTCACTCTGAGTTCTCAAAAGTTATGCCAAATGCCAAACTCTGGTAGGAAAAACCAAACTGGAAAGGCTTAGAGAACAGACTGTGAGTATGAGACCGTGTGTCTGTCATTTGAAGACCAGACTGGTTAAGTTCAGAGAGCTTCATCATCAGAAGACTGACTACCAAGTGGGGAGGATTTTTTTTTTTTCATTTTTTTTTTTCTCCCCAGCCACAGCAACTCATGAAACAGCATTGCTAGCTGGAAGGGTTCTGATCTGCCTTGGTAGTAGGAGCACCCACACTGATGAAATCACAGGTCCTTTGAAGTACAGATGTTATCCAAGCAATGAGACGTTATTTTAAACAGGCAAGAGTTCAATTTAAAAGCCCCAGTGTCAGAATTGAAAATGCTCTTAATTCTTGCTTCCACTGACTTAATGAGCCACCTGTGTGGCTGAATCACTCTGCCAGGGAATTCTACCTCAGGTAAGTCAGGAACCACAACCAGAAGGAATCATGCGCAGTATTCCTTGTGGTTCACTATTCAGTTTCACTTCCTTGTATGCTAAGGGAAAATGGGGGGTGAGAAGCCAGGGCTCCTCTAATATGTACGTCTTGCCTGTTAAAGGATATAGTCGTCAGTCTCACTGTTTTGAACTTGTCTCAGTGCAGTTAGGTTGGCTGTCTTCAGTACTCTTTCAGGAAGAAGAAGAAGTGGACCAAAGTGTCAGTGTGTGGTTTATCGCTCTTACAGCTTTTTCCCCTCTCACTGAGCTCTATGAGTGGTAACCCCAATAACTGGCCACCACTCTGCGACTCAGACTGGGGAGAAGCCTTAGAGATTAGAAACAAGGCAGATCAGGGTTTTTTCCCTTCCTAGGTTTTCCTATATGGACAGTGAAAGGCCAAAAGTAGGTACTGCCTAATGGTTTCCTTGACATCATTATGAGATGCCCATATCTCTCCAAGGATATTCACTTGGCTTGTGTTTGCACAATGTCGAAATCATGAGATGATTTGGCCAATTCAGTTAAAAAACTGGTCAGTTTGGTAGTGGTGTTAATGACAGAAACATCCAAATCAGCTTAGTAAAATCACAGAATATCAGGGCTAGAAGAGACCACAGGGATCATCTAGCCTTCCTCATTTGACAGATGAGGAAACCATAGTATAGAGAGGAAGAGCTTTGCCAGTCTCACAGCCAGCAAGGGGCAGATAGATCCAGGTCTTTTCACTTCTGGTCCAGCATTACTTCCACTCCACTATACATGACAATCAAAAATAGTTCCTACATAACTCATCTGTTTGACTGACTTACTTTTCATCTGGTTGATTTGGTATATGGAGACATGGGCCTCAGAGAGGTGTTTTTTATAGTCTCAGATTTCTACACTCCATGTTTCTGAAGAAGAATCAATCACAGGGCATCTATCCTGTGGACGGACTACTAACTAGACCGAGGTTATGAACATTAGCCATTAAAATACAAGACCTCTTCTTGGCCTACTTTGCTTGCATAGTTAACATTTATCAAGGCATTAAAACTATGAGAGTGCCATTGAATCTCAACATCTGGGAGAGCACTGTCACTTTTTTATTTGACACCTTTAACCCAATTATTTAATTTATATGAATTTATTTTAGTCTCTATCAGTCATATACATGAACATGGGAATTTTTTTTTAAATGAAAAAGGACTAATGTGATCTCATTGTATCCAGCCCAGAAACTGGTTTTTAGCCTTACAAGATGTCTCAAACTATGGTCATTGACAGTACGACTTCCCAGCTGATGACTAAATAAAATGACACCCCAACATTCATATTATTCAACACTTTAAACCCTAAAGGATACAAAGCTCTTCCATGTCTTGTTTGAAAGACTTTTCAGTCACATCCCAGGCAAAAGTTCTACCTTCCAAACTTGCCTTCTAGTATGGCAAGAAGAGAACCTGGTTTGGATCTTCATGGGGTTGTAAATCTTCACAAGTTACAGGTGAATAGTAGGCATTGCAGTTGCATCACTACATATTAGATACATTTTCTGTTTCTCTGTTACACACACAAATTAGGTAACAAGACCTGCTGTATGGAAGAGTGGTCCAACAATACATACAAAAGTCCCAGTCCACTAAGTATGAAAAGCCATGCCAGCAATGACAGGATTTAATGATGGTTGAATTCCTATCAAATGAGGGACAGGTCATGTGAAATCGTCCACAGTGAGTGATTTTCCAGCATGTTTCCAAAACACAGATGTTCCTTGCCTCATAACTGTCAACTGCATGAATAAACATAGTTTTATATTGAGAGAAAGATGTGTGTGTGTGTGTGTGTATATATATATGTATATATATATACACACACACACACACAGAGAAAGAGAGAGCGAGAGAGAGAGAGAGAGAGATGGGAGGGAGAAACTGCAAAAGTGGTTATCGAGTCAGGAAAAAGTTCTTATTTCCATTATGAAATTTATCAGAGAAATTAAGTAGATCAATTCATGCACAAATATTTAACTTTGTTTTTAATTACTGGAGCAGTTTTGTTATGTTGGAAATTTGTCACTCTGTAATAGTAAAGAAGGTGCACACGCACACAGAGGCATCTAACACATAGAAACATTCAACTCCTAGTAGCCTGAGGCCTTTTGAAAATGTTGAGGGATTTAGTTCTCCCACTATACTAGTGCAGACCATTGCCTCATAGGAATGAACAGCATCTGGCTATTCAGGAACACTAGTACAAACAGAAAAATAATATTTTTGAAGAGATTCTAGTTACGCCAACTATTGGTGGCAAAACTGAAAATACTATAGAGTATGTAAGAGACTCAAATGCTTTCTGACAAGTTTGGTGTGTTTGAGAGAGAGAAAATCCAAAAGGTATATTGAAAAAAATAGTTCCAATAAATATTAACCTAATTACTGAAAGACTATAAGTCATAAGACATAACAGCACCTCCTTGCTCTAGATGAGATTTCACAGTTTTACTGAAATTAAATACTATGGGCTTCATATGTTGGAAAGCCAAGGGAAAAAATTTCTACCTTATTCAACCAATAATCTTAGTCTGGGAAGTCTATCTGGAGAAGTCCTACCATAAAGGGAATGGATGCTTCCACGTAATGCTTCGAGGTAATCCCCAGCTCAAACCAGGATTCAATCTAGGGAGGGGATTTCTTTGCAAGGCCACAAATGTTTTTGAATTTCTTTTAAAATTTCAGACAATCATATGTGGTTTTCTGTGTTGGAAAAAAAAAAAGTCCTTGGGAGCAGTCCCTATCAGTGACCATGGCCTCAGTAAAGAGACCCCAGGCCCACTATGAGAACTGCCAGGCTGCCTGTATCCAAAAGCCTCTTAGGAGAACACACACATCTGAACAAGACCCGGGGCACACCCAGGGCATACCTTCGAGGTAACAGTGGTTTTAGGTGGGCAGCCTGTAAAATACTGCAGCTGTCAGATCTTCTGCAGGAAGTCCTTCCTCAATGAGTAGTGACAGAAACATATGACTCAAAATAGGTCTTACGTGATGGTGATGGCACTTACTTGTGTCCCCCACCCCACCCCACCCCCAAAAGGAATATCCTGGTGATGAATAAAAGGAAAAGGAAGTCAAGAAACAATAAATGGAGTGTTTGTGCTACTTAAACAATAGGTTATACTGGAGCAGGTGCTTGGAAAACCAATGAAGACCACTTATGGTATGCATTGAATACTTATGGTAGGTGTTGAATTACTGTTTGTAAGTGGAAAGTCCTTCCTGCAGGCACTGTATGTGAAGGCACACCCATGACAGACAATAGCACCAGAGACAAGGTGAACTACAGAGGCATGAATCCAACTGTCCCCATGCTACAGATTATAGAAATAGCCCAAGAGGCAGGCAGTCTGAGGAGCACCACCCAACTGGCCAATGGTGGGGGTGCAAATTTCTCTTGAACGTGGCACAGATGCGGTAGTTCATACACATTGGTTTTGCCTAAGAAGCACCCATCAAGGTTTAGCACCCATCGATGTTAAGAAGCACCCATAGAACATGGTGCATAGTAAAAGGTAAAAGACAGGAGATAGGTCATCAGACTCCTAATCACAGTCAGACCATTAAGAGAAGAAGGTAAACAGGGTTTGAGAAAAAGCCTTCTGGGAAAGCTTAGGCTGTGCCCATAGAAGCCTATACAGCATTTCCCTAGAAAAGAGATGGATGGCAGGGAGGTCTGTGAGTCTCCTCAACAAGTCATCCCTAAGGGGAGATGCAATTTACATTTTGAGAAAGCCCAGAGGAGTCCATTTAGGCATCTGTGCTCTCCTCTACCACGCAGGGGCATGAAAGAGGATACAGTGCTCCATTCCACATTAGCCTTGGGGATGGGATCAAAGCCCTACGTTCAGGTTCCACAGGAGCAGTGTGGGAAAACTGCTGGGGCCTGACAATTTAGAATCCACAGCAATCAAGCAATGGAAGCTCCAGAGGCCAAAAGGACAGTTTGGCTTCTTGTCAGCACGTACAGGAAATCATTCAGGGGCCCTCACGTGGGTAAAGTCCACAGGTGACAACAGAAAAGTCTGGTTAAGCTATCATTTTTCTCTAATTTAACTGAGTACAAATCTATGGTATAGAAGCAGCATGTCACATCTAAGGCACATGTACATTATGCCACCATCTCAATGTAAAGACTTCACTTTCTGAGATCTTTAACAAAATGCAGCCATTGTGACAGAATGAATAAACGTATCTAAAGTGACCACTTTCTGCATGAATTGCCTTTCCCAGCCCCCAGAACACCAAGCATCTTGGAGATTTAATATTTGTGTCATTAGCAATAGAGAGATCATTTGAACACATGGGGCAGAGCTTTAAAAACCTACAGGATTTTTGTTTAGAACTTCAGAGTTCAACAAATGCCCTATTTTAGGGTGAAAACAATTATAAATCTGAGAATGATGCACGGCATCCATGAGCAATTTTTCTTTCTTAATAATTTTGAAGTAGTGTCATTAACTACGACATATATTGTAGGTTTACATTTCTAACGAGAAATAACAACAGATTGAGTATTTTCTTTCCTATCACAAGTGATAACCAGTGTTTGAAATTTTACATTTTCTTCCGAGAAATATCAGTCTATCAGCATTTTAAAATAAGATGTTTGTGTTAATAATTATCAATAAAACTTTAAATCAAAAAAATGATTCTGAATTTAGAGACTGAGTACTTCAGGGTCTTCTGACAAACAAATTATTAAAACAGAGACCAGGTGAGGCCTTAAAAATAGACAATATATTGTATTTGAAACAAGATTGCACTTTGCTTTTTTTTTTTGAACGAATATATCAGAACTGCATTATGATTTCATCATTTCTTCTTTTACTTAACATGCTGACATATCCAGCTATCCCCACATGTGAATTTTTTGGTGTTCTAGTTTAAGGAAGAAAAATCATATCTGTTTTGTTTGTTTGTTTGTTTTTTTGCTTAGCATATATGTCTTTCTACCTCAATTAACTAGATCTTTAAAAATAAAAATTAAAACCCTCTGATAGTAATATTTATCCCAACGAAGGATAAATAATTCTTCAGAGTTGAAGTGTTGCTAGTTCTATTAGAAAATATACCAAGGTATGATTTCTTAATGTGTTGCTACTTCACCATTGGACCCTATGCAATTATGCCTTCAGACTCTTCCTTCTGTTCCACAAGGTCCTCTTCTGAGCTTAGGACCTCATTGAAGACAGACTGGTTCAAAACCCCTAAGTGGGGTTACCTGTTGCTTAAATCCATTTCCCCATCCACTTGTCAGGGGTCTGGCAGATCCGACGTATCCACTATGACTTTAATAAAAATAGTATCATCTTTAATATACGTCCCATTTTCTAGAACAGTTTGGGCCACAAAGACAGGGCAACCAGATGCAATGTTCATCTCTCCGGTAGGCTTCTTGAAACTACTGCTGTTTGGGTCAGGTTTGAAAGCATCTCCTAAATGACGTCGAGAAGATCCCTGATCCATTAGCATGAGAGTCACTTTTTGCTTAAAGGGCCAAGGAAGCAAAGCGTCATATTCTCCACGCATTATGACAAAAAACAAAGACAAGTGAGTTCCTTTTCCCATCCCATCCCCATTAAGGTAAACTCTAGCACACATCTTATAGCCGAAGTAGCCCGTATAGAAAGGCTGGCTGTACAGTGACAAGGTCTTCCCCATGACAGCTTCCTGCTTCCTTCGTTTATAATCTCGAATTTTCCAGATTAACACCCCATTGTAGCTGGCGGTTTCTAGCACTTGGAATCGGAGGTCCATGTCAGCCAGTCGAATATCATGAACACTTAGCATCTGGTCATGTCTGCTTAATTGTGTCTCAAGCAAGCCTAGAAGAGAGTAAGGGAAAGAAACAGAAGCACTCAACTACTTTGAAATATCACTACAGCAAGATTGACATACCTCATACCAATACACATTAGCTGCTACTTGAAATACAATAGTCTTTATCTAAGACAGACCAGTATTGTGAAATCTGGTGGTGATGAAGTGAGAGGTGGATAAGAGGAAATATGTATAGCTTCCATAATAATTTTCCCATCACACCTTCCCTCCAAACACTTTAACTAATGGTAGTACTCTCTAACAACTCTGTCTTTTCACTCTACAGCATTTAGTCATTGTCAAGAACAGCCATTTCATTTCACACACTCTTCTCCATACCCATCACCAAATCCCTTGTCCAATTCCTATTATATTTGTAATATTCTAACTTTTTTTTAATTACTTTTATGCTTCTTTACAAAATCTTCCTACTGCAGCTAAAGTCACTCTGTGATCATCATATGACCGTGCACAGATCTCCAGAACAAACCTACATCTAAGTACTGCCTATAAAGCTCTATCACGTCCCTCTCTTCAATTTTCTAGTTGGGCTCTATCACACTAATAACAATAATAAAATAATAATAGCATCAACATAATGACAATAATAATAGCATTATTCTCACCACTAAACTGGGAAGGCTTTGAGGGCAGGCCTAGCACTAGCATAGTTAAATATGAAGAAGGTTAGCTACCTCACCAGGTTAGCTACCAGAGGATACACTTTTTGGCCACGGCAACTCATGAAATCATCCAGCAGATCCAGAAAGGATGGATTTCAAACTTTGGTCAATACTAGATAAATTCTCTTCCAAGGCCAAAAATGTTGATTCTATGTGGATAAATATCTGTATTCTAGACCTTTCCCCCAAGGTTTCAACTCATATTTTCCACTGCCTGTAGGACATCAAAAGGCACCACGGTACAGAGAAAGAGCTTTGAATTTGGACTCAGACCTGTGGGACCAGGGGCAAATCATTTAACCTTTTCAGGCCTCAGTCTATAAGATGAGGGAGTTGGACTAAATGATCTTTCTTCTAGCTCTAAAGCTATCATTTTATCTGTAGATAGAAGTGCTGCTGAATTCATGTAAAGATGATGAATCACCTGGAAGCCATGACCCAGCCGGACTCCTAGACATGTGCACTGCACTTGTAATAAGTGTGTACTCTTGCTCTTTGTCACCCCTGTCACACCAGGGCTTTTTCCATAACATGAAAACTAAATGTGGTGTATAAGGCACTAATATTACCTGCCACAAGTGCATGGCTTTCACATATCTGCCTTTCCTTGTGATAACTGAACAGCTGACGGGAAGATTTTCCCTCGGAGACAATGCATCTGGTGGGACGCAGGGATTCCGGCTGTCTCTTGTCTCAAGGAGACATTGGCGCTTTCCCACTTTCCCTGCCCCTCCTTCCTCACCTGTATTCCGTGCTGCTTGTCCTGCAGTCTTGTCCACGCTCTCCAGCTCCGTGACTCGGTTCTGGAGGGATTCCACACTGCTTTTCATGCTGTCAGCCTCCTCCCAGTTTTGTCGGAAGGGACGGATCTCTTTATCCAGTTCTTTCAGTTTCTCTGCCTGACTATCGATCACTCGCTTTTCAATACAAAGAGGATGAAAAAGCAAAACCAATTAGAAATGCTTGAGAATGCATGGAACGTGAAACAGAAGAACAGAAAAGGAACATAATAACTGCATTAGTAAAGTCAATGATGATCAGAAACGCAAGTAAAAATAACCTTCTAAGTTTTCTGAAATCTACTACGGAAGCATCAATCCCTAATTTCTTTGCCATACAAAAAGCAGAGGGGTTTTCTCTTTTTTGGGTGGTAGTTGTTGTTGAATATATTGCTTTCCTGAGATTTCTTTTCCACTGAAAATCACAACTGTATTTAACATTCTGAGTCTGAAAGAGGTCTCTACCTCTTTACAACTGAACCAGAGTTGACAACCAAGATAATTCTATACACACGTAACAAGGGGATCCCTGATGAGAGCAAGAAGGGAAGAAGAAAGCTTTTGTGAACATTTTCCAACAGACTACATCTTTATAGTCACATCATTTTCTGAAAGTTCTAGAAAATATGAGATTCCACTGTATACGTATATGCATACACACATACATGCAACTTTTCTGAGTAAAATGTGACCTTCAAGTCTCTCTGCCAATAAGGTGTTTCCTTTGCTAGTATCAACATCATACGGAATTCCTTGAACTATGTAACAACAGAGAAAATTTTCTTGATTACTTTCTGATTATTAATATCAAGTAAGGCATAAAACAAAATTCATATGCTTGTCAAAGGTATTTGCTGTCACCAAAGAGGAAATCTAACACAAGAGCTCAAAAGGAAGTGGGACTCCCCACAATAAGTGGTTGCGTGGACAACCCACAGAGCTGGTCCATCCACACCCACATCTTCCTAGACAATAAACTGTGCTTAGAAATCAGCTGGAGAGGAAAGCAACTTCTGCCTTTGACCTCAATATTCTTCTGGTGATGCTGTTTGGCTAAAAGTCAGGGAATGCCCATTTGGGAAGAATTAGAGCTAAGAGTCATCCAAAGGACAATGGAGAGGTGCCTGGAGGCTACAAAACAATACCAGTGAAGAACTGTGCACAAGAAGCGGCATAAAAGATAACATCAGAGAAATATGTGACGGGAAAAGAAGGTAGGCCACAGTCAGGTGATGAGCAAAGAAGAACATACAAACTGCCCTTGTACTCCACTGCTACCTAACCAGTATGAAAAGATCTAGAGGAAGTACACTGGGTGGACCTCACAGGAAGAATTTGTAGAAAGACATGGACAAAAGTCACACAGGAAAAGGATGGGTTGTAATTTGCATCATTTTCTACATGGATGAGATCATAAATCCACTTCAGTATTAAAGTACTGATATAGTTACCATTTCTAGCATTATTTAAATAGCTTTTAAGGTTTGCAAAGTGATATATATATATATATGTATGTATATGTATATATGTAAGTAAACATATAAACTCATGTGACAACAACCCTGGGGGTAGGTACTATTATCGCCATTTCATAGATAAGGAAGCTGAGGCTAAGAGAGGTTAAGGCACTAGCTCAGGGTCACACAGCTAGAGCATGTCAAGGACATGATTTAAACTCAGGTCTTCCTAAGTCCAAGTTCCTTGCTCTTTCTACTGAGCCACCTGACTACCAGTTCATTAACAGCCTGTTTAGTTTCTTTTTCTGACATTGGTTTATTTAAGTTATCATTTTCCTGTTTTGGATATTCCACATTTTTATTTGGCTACTATATATATAATATATAATATTGTGTGTGTGTGTGTGTGTGTGTGTGTGTGTGTGTGTAATAAAGCACCTCAGCTCAGGGCTCTTTTCAGACACCACACACAATGTTGGCACTAGAAAGAGTTTTAAATACTATATAGTCTAACCCTTCACATTTAGAGGAGGAAACTGGGGCAAAAAGGTAAAATAACTTGTCCAAGGTCCATAACGTCTCAATTTAATTGATTTGGCAGAAATTTCATCTACAGAATCCGTGGTAGATTCCATGTGAACAATAATAAAGTAACAACAGGAATCATACAATTATTTGGGCGACAACAGTAATTTTACTGCCAGATTTGTCTAGATTCTTGCCTGCTCCAACAGTGTCATGCACCAGTTTGTGACCATTCTCAGAAACCTAAAGGGGTTTTTCGTTTCTAAAACATTTTGCATGTTTGAAAGATCAAGACAAGCCAAGGTAATTTAGATTTACGTCACACTTTGAGAGTGATAAATTACCTCCAAGGGGCTGTCCAACATCCACTGTATCTAAGGGGATAACCCTGCTGGTCCCCACCATCTCTACTTCTCCTTTTAGAAACTTATTTTTAAACATTTAAGTTTCAGTACCTACAGCAAGTTAATAATTAAAAGGAAACTACAAAAAGAATACATTTTTTACTTAGTTACCTGGTCTACAAATGTCTTCCTCTTTTTCTTCTTTCCAAGAAAGAGTAATTACTTGCATATTTAAAAAATATAACAATGATTTCTCAAAAGAATATAATTTCTTATGTGGATATAATTATTTTATTTTCAAACAAGTACAATGCACAACAAAGACTTAAATATAGGAGTGTGTCCCTGTGTGTGTGTGAACTTGATTTTTTTCCGAAGGGAGAGAAGGAGTTCTACTGGAGGTAGAGAAGAATCTGTTTTTAAAAAGAATCTGATTACTTTGAAGTACTACAATACTATAAACTAGAGTACAAAAGAATACTAATAAGCATATTGTATTCCCCCAGTAGGTTGTAATGAGGCAAGGGATGGTCTTTCGTCTTTGTATCCTCCACACCTAGCACAATGCCCAGCGATGGTAGACACTTAATTAATGCTTGTCGATTGATTAGTTAATTGAAATAAAATCAGGTAAGCTAGTAGAAATCAGAGCTCATAATAAGCTTAGCCAATAAAATTTATTCAAGCATTTGAGCTCTGAATTAAATCTATTCATATCTAATTTATAATTCAGAAGACTGAACAAGAGACAGAAGACGCGGTCTTTGCTCTGCCACATATCGGGCACATGAATTTGTGGAAGTCACTTTACCTTAGGTTTCAGTTTTCTCATCTGTAATATGAGGAATATAACCCTGGCCTGTCTCCCTTATCAAATTATTGAGAGGCCTAAATAAAATAAGATGATTTATGGAAGGGCTTTGAAAACTGCCAAGCACATACAAATCTGAGGGATAATTGTTCTGTATCATTACCCTCTACATGAGATATCACAAATGTTCAGTTAGAGGAATTTGGATGAATGAGATTTGAGTGTACTTCCAAGAAAGATTACATGAAGCAGATCTGTGTAACACTATGCACGGAACAGGATATAAACGTGTAGGTCAATTTTGTTCAGTGTAGACACTACTAATACCAACTACCACATCTATTTCACACTTGGTTCATAAATTGGAACAAGTGAGTTTTCAGGTGTCACAATCTGAAATTTATGCACAGCAGCCTAAACTTTATGCAACTCAAAGATGATAAAAAGGCCCAAGCTGCATCTGGAAACCACTTAAGAGCAGTAGACTTTAAAGTAGTTGCCAGGCACAGCAAAGGAAAAAAAATGTTTATTTTTAACTGGGCCTTTTAACCTGTATACATGAAATAATTTGAGTGGAAGGTGGTAATTAATACTTTCTACATATAAGTCACAAGGATGATTTTATCCCTGAAGGCAAGGCATCTACTACAGCATATCTCAAGATGAATTTCTGTTCAGTGGGTGTGAAGAAGTGAATTTATAAACAATCTGTTACACCCTATACAAATTCATCTTTATTTAAACATTTATTTCCCAAGTGGTGTCAAATAATCAATATCATGAATTATTTTTTTTTATCTAACTGGTTGATACATCTCAGTGTTCTAATTACTGATACTTTCACATGAAAGCTACATATAAATAAGATACATTTTGAGTAGAGTAAGGTAGAAGAAGACATAGCTTAAAATGAATTCAAAGTGTCTTTATGAGTCTGAGATACACATACATACATATATATACCCACACACACTTGCACAGAATAGATCTAAAATTGATTTTAATCCAACTCAATAGCACATGAATTTGTGCTCCTGTGAATCCCCTAACCCCAGGATCTTTTCTCTAGTGATTTTTAGATCTGGTGAAGTGATTAAATTCTGATCATATGACCTTGACTTCTCTCAGTTTCATCTTCCTCATCTGTAAAATGGCTATAATGCCTTAATTACCTACTCCTTATGAGGGAAGGAAGCACTTTGTAAACCTTAAAGAGCCATAGAGATTTTAGCTGTAATTGAAATAAGCTTTCTAATAATACATAGAATTCTCTCTTTTCTGAAGTAGTTATAGGCTACACATTTCAGGAAGGCTAATTTCAGGACTAATGTCCTTCCTAGTACAATATTTAAAATGGTAGGATGAGCACTTCCAAAAACTATGATGAATTTGCACTGCTGAGACTACTAAATGTTTCACATTTAAGGAAACACACGATCTATACTTGTAGTCATACAATATTCAGCAGGGGAGTACACCAATAATAACTTCAATCTGTAGTTTAAATATCTATGGTCTTCAAAACACACCAATAAGTATCTTTCAGACTGTAGCCATGTACTTACTACTTGTGGGACCTCAGTTCCTATGTCTGCAAAATAAGGGGCTTTAACTAGAAGATTTCGAAGGTCCCTTCTGGATCTACTTTTACGACCTTATGATGATGTGTCTATGAAACAAAACACGTGTATTGGAGAAGTGGCCATTTGTTGGACAGATAACTGGAAGAACAGAAATTCAATGAAAACTTAACAGGTGCCTGCTATGCTCCGGGTGCCATGCTTGGTGCTGGGGATACAAAGACAAGAATGAATTCTTGCCCTTAAACACCTTATGTCCTGGAGGAAACAACAAGCAGGTAGAGAAGTCAACAGAAAAGCTATATAAAATAACTGATCAATACTCTCGTGAGGTTGTGGGATGCGGGAGGGAGGAGCACTAATAAGTGAGGGAATCAGGAAAGGCCTCTTGGAAGGGGCAGCACCCGAGCTGAACTTTGGAGGAAAAGAGGGGTCCAGAGAGCAACGGTAAAATCAGGCACCGAAACTCAAACTCCCAGTTCCCATGGCTGTGCTAATCACTAAACCATATTTCCTCTTGACTCTTTTGCTTCAAATCATGCTGTAAAACTACTGAAATGGAAAGCATATCACCACTCTATTTCATGAAATTAATGGACATTCACAGCCTCCCTTGCAGTCCAGTTTGCACTAACTCAAAAGACACGTGGGCGTCGGAACAGCTAGATACACTGCTCAGTAAATCCTTAGGTGAAGAGGACTCAGGGAGGAGAAGAGAGGGAGTTTCCAATTCTTGCAATGGCTTTGGGGCACAGGATGCCTCAGCTATTGGGAAATTCCTGGCATGCCCATAGTCTTTAGGTGTGCATCAGTGAGTATGTGTGTAATGAGTATTAATGCACATAGCTGCATGGAAAACTCAACTGGTGCTCTCAGGGAGCTAACGAAATGGAAAGAGAAAAACTATAAGAATTTAGTTTGACCGTGTAAAAGTAACACTAATTAAACCATGCATTTTAACTGTTTAACATTTATTTCTAATTACCACGCAGGAAATAACAATTATAAATGCATCATGATTAAACTACATAAGATTACATGAAATACTATTCCTGTTAAAAAAAAAGAATAAAAATTAGTTTTAATTTTATTATCACACTAGAAAAGTCCTAAAGCAGAAAATACAGCATGCAACATTTGCCTTAACTTAATCTAGTAGAATTTTAATAATGCTTACCTGTAAATGAAGTATTTTGGATTCATTATTCCGGAGCATTTCTTTTTGTCTTTCAATTTCTATTTCAAAGCTACATATCTGATTGTGTAAACTTTGTATACTCTTGTTTTTTTCTACACTTTCATTCTGTAACAAGGAAACCTGGGAAGAAAATTCTACAATTAATTCACCAACACATGACTACATACTATCAAACAATAACAAATAATCAAAAGGGGATGGATGGGGACTTTGGACTTATTATTTCATTACTCTGTCTACTCATTCAGACCAGTAGCTGATCTGTCACTTAAAAGCTGTAGAGAATTTGCTAGGGCAATGAGAGGTTATGTGATATTCCCAGGGTCACACAGCCAGTGTGTGTCAAAGGTGGGACTTGGTTGGCCCCAGTCTTCTTGACTCCAAGGCCAACTTTCTACCCACTATTCCATTCACTGTCTCTCAATGATGTATAATGATGCAAAAATGAGTTTTTATAACAAAGCCAGCCCTCCTCAAGACCTGAGGAAGGAGGGAATCTGTCTCCAACACTGAAAGGGAGCTGTCATTCTGAATAATGTAATGAGGGGTCCTGTCGATCTACTTGGTAAATTCCAGTCCAACAAATGTACTGAAACAAAGACAGTAATAGATTATATGCCACTGTTTGGCTAGATCATAAAATACAAGAAACTGTTACAGTTCCTACTATTGTCATAACTACTGTAATAGTTGATTCTTGGTGAAATGAATTGGGAAGGCAACATCAAACCACTCAAAAATTAAATGGTGCTAGTGGAATTCAAAAAGCCTAACAAAGCATGATCAATCCTACTAGATCAGGGAAAATAAAAATGGATTCCAAGTATTACCAGGCTGGTCAGAGAAAGGGTATGTATAATAACATTACATTAAGATTATTACAATCCTATTTTGCCAGAAAAATAACTATTATTCTACTAGCTATTTGGGATAGGCTCTTGGGAGATCTTTCCCTACAGAAGCAGAAGGTGAGCTATTTTGGACCTGTGTGATAGGCATTTATAATATATAATATGTATTTCTGAAAATGATAACATAAAATTCATCAGAAAAAAATCTAAAACGCCAAGAGTCTTACATAAGGGAGCTGGCTGTCACCATGTGGAAAGCATTACCTATTTTTCTTATATTTAAATGACAAAAACTTTTTCTTTGTATGTTACTCTTTTATTGATTGCTTCTGCTTAAAACAGGTCCACAAGAACAACTATAGCAACAGTTCTCTAAAGTCACTAGGATAATAGTTATACAAAAATACTGGAAGGATCTGTGATTTTATCAGTGTCATTTTCTCAGATAATCAATCATACAGCATCTATGAATTCTAAGGAACTGCCTAAAGCACAGAGAAGTTAAGCAACTTGCCCAGTGTCACACAGCAGGTGACTAAGAGGGAGGATCGTCTTTACTCTGCGTCCAGCACTCTGTCATGCTGCTCTCTTATGGCATGCTACTCTCTTATGCATAAAATAGCATGAGCTGGAGGTGGTGCCTTTCCTCAATATTTTTCTTTTCATACAATATAGTATAGCAGTGATTTTCATGTACAAATACCATTCACTAACCCAAGGCAAATAGCTAAATCTGGCATTTCTGTTTATTTAAAAAAACTAACATTTTTATCCAGAATTACAAACATATAATTTCTCATGGGCAAAATATGATTTCTCATTATACCAAAAAGAATTTATGTTATACTATATAATTTCTCATTATGCCAATAAGTCCACTATCTCCAGTGTTAATTTTCATTCCTAAAAGATGTAATCTTTGTTGCATTCATAGAGAGGGTGCCCTTTGGCATTAACAATTTAAATGATCTTTCCTAGAGGGGAAGCCCTAACCTCACTTCTCCTGAGGGTCCTAATCTTCATAGGAGAATCAACCAATCAATCGGTATTTATTAAGTGCCAGTCAGACACTGTGCTGGGTGCTATGGATACAAAGATGAGGCATAAAATAACACCATCTCTCAAGAAGGCCCTCTTTTCCCACCAGCTACATTACTTCTGGACATCTCTGAAATTCTCCATCATCATCCTGCGTCAGATATCTTCTGCTCCCCCACTATTCCAACTTCCATTTCTAGGATGTCTTCCTCCATTAATCTAATACAAGCTCCTTGAGGTCAGAGACTGTCTGTTTTTATTTGTATATGTATCTCCAGTGCTTAGCACATTGCCTGGCATGTAGAAGGTGCTTAATACATGTTCAATGACTGACTACTGAAGAAACTTATTCCCTTCCTTCAAGGGAGATAAAGACAACAATATATAGAGAGTAAATACAAATAAATAAAAGGTAGTTAAATTTGAGGTACCTAGAGAAGGAGGGCAAAGCCGTCAAGGGGATCTGGAAAAGTTTCATGCAGAAAATGGTGCCTACACTGCATCTTAAAGGAATAAAGAGATCCTCTGAGGCAGAGGTGAGGAGACCAGTGCATTCCAGGGATAGGGGATGGCCAGTGCAAAGATGCTGAGACTGGAGATAGTGTGGAACAGAGGGTGAGGAACACAGAGACAGCCAGTGTCTAGATCAGAGCTCAGGAGGGGAAGCAATATAAAATGAGGCTGGGAAGATTGGTTGTGAAGGGCTTTAAAAGCTAAATAGAGCTTTATATTTGATACTGGAGGTAACATAGAACCTCTGGGGCTTAAGGAGTAGGGGATTGACACAGTTAGATCTGTGCTTAAGGAAAATCACTTTAGCAACTATGTGCAAGATGAATTCAATTGGGGAGAGACTTGAAGCGAGGAGAGAAATTAGAATAGTAATCTAGGCAAGGAAAAACCATAGTCTAGACAAGAGGTGATGAGGGTCTAAACTAAGACAGTGGCTATGTGAGTAGAGAGATGGGGTCAGATGGGATTTTGAAGTAGAAACAAGTTTTGGCAACTGATTGGAAATTTGGATGAGAGAGAGTGAGTAGCTGGGATCATGCCAACATTACAAACCTGATGCTAGAAGGTTAGTAGTACCTTTGACAGAAATAGAGAAGTTTTTTTTTTAAAGGGGGTGGGTTTTAAAAGAGAAAGATAATGAAATGTTTTGGTCATGCTGAGGAAGATGTCTTCAAGACATCTAGTTTGAAATGTCCAAAAGGCAACTGGTAATTTGGGACCGAGGCTCAAGGAAGAGACTAAAGCTGGATATATAGATCTATGAGTGATCTGCAAAGTTCTGAGAGTGAAACCAAACCCACAGGAGCTGATGAGAACACACACACACACACACACACACACACACACACACACAAGAAAAAATATATATATACAGGAAAAATGTATAGAAAAAGAAAAGCCCTGGAAAAAACTTATAGTTAGAGTGCATGATATGGATTATGACCCAAGAAAAGGAAACTGAAAAGGAATGGCCAGAATTAAAAGCTCAGGAAGAGAGAGCATTCAGAAAGAGACAGTGGTCAACAGTGTCAAATTTGGAGAGTTCAATGAAGGAAGAAGATTAAGAAAAAACCATCAGCTTTGGTAATTAAGAGATCATTGGTAACTTCAGAAAGAACAGTTTCAGTTGAGCAATGAGATGGGAAGCCAGACTGTAAAGAGTTGAGGGATGAGTGACAGGAAAGGAAGTGGAAGCAGTGAATACAAAGCTTTTTAAGTTTTTCTGAGAAAGGGAAGAAAGGTATAGATGAACAACAGCTTTTGAGGGGATGGTAAGAGTCCAGTGAAAGTTTTTAAGGATGGAGGAGACTTGGGCATGTGCAAAGGCGGTAGGAAAGGAACCAGTAATTAGGGAAACGTTGAAGATTAGAGAGGGCAGTTTGTTGTACGAGCAGGAGGATGAGGGCTGAAGGGCACATGTAGAAGGGCTGGCCTTGGAAAGAAGGGTCACCTCATTATCAGAGACTGTGGGAAAGAAGGAAGGAATAGAGGATGATGTGAAGAAGTTCTGAGATGAAGAGAATGGGAGAAGAAACAACTCATGGTGAATGGCCTCAATTCTGTCAGTAAAAAATGTACCAAACAGCATAGCAAAGTTCTATTTTTAATTATAAAAAAAATTTGGAAGTCATCTATCTTTGAGCTGCCAACAAGAAGTAATACTGCTTTTTTCTCATGTCCATCAAAAAGAAGTGGCAGGCTTGTCACTCCTTTATACCCTAGTAACATCATAAAACACACTGAATTTTTGCTACAATGTATGAGATACTTGGAGAGGACCAAAAAACAGTTCAGGTTGGTGGAAATATTCAGTTTGGGGACTTCTCTTACTTCCATAATCAGACTTTTAGAACTAAATGAGGATCCTACTGTTCCTACAGCACTCTTATTTAGAATAATTTACTGTTTTCAGTTTTATGGAAGTAAACTTCTTTAAAGTTCCTCTCAATTCTAAATTCTATGACCCTATGATATGAGCATCCTATATTTCCATTTGACTTTACATCTTTTTAAAACAGTGAGCCTTGTATTTCAGAATGAGATTTAAGAGAAGATTGGCTATTATTTTTATATAATAACTTCCATAAAACTTAACTTCTTTGGAAGTAACATATTGTTAAGAGCGTATGTTACTCTTGCAACTTTATACACTTTCCTGGAAGGACGTTTAGTTTTTGGAGGCACTTAATACACTGTCATGTTTAGAATCTATACCTGTAACAACCTAGATGTCTGGCTTTAAAAGCCTTTCACAAGCTGGCCTCAACCTGTCTTTCCAGTCTTAATCTATATTACTCCCCTTCTCAAACTCTACAGTTCAGCCAAACTGTTCTTATCTTCCTTTCTCCCACATAGCAGGCACTCCATCTCCCCATCTCCAAGACTTTCTACCAGTCATTCCCCATACCCACAAGAGACTTCCTGCCTCACTTCTACTTCAGAGAATCCCTCACCTCCTAGAAGATACAGTTCAAGTATTGCCTTCCACATGAAGCTTTTCCTGATCTCTCTAATGGCTAGTACCCTCCCTCCCATGACCTTGTATTTATTTTGTATTCATTCTGCATATACTGCTGGATGTACATATAGTTTTCCCTGATAAGAGTGTAAGCTTTTTGAGAGTAGAGGTTGTTTTATTTTATTTTATTTGTATTTGCATCCTCAAGACCTAGTATAGTAGCCAGCACATACACAGTAGGTGCTTAATAAATGCTTTTTGATTGATTTCCCAAATCAAGGATGAAGTCATCCATGAAATTCTGATCTGAGAACTGTACAATGAAAAACTGATTGACATTCTAGGACAGTAAGACCTTCAATTCTATATCTGTTGTCTTCCATTTATTTTTTTGGAAATGATGACTATATAGCTTCACTAATAATAACAATCCTACTACTTCAAATTAGAATTTTTAGAGCCACATCTGGAATGAACAAGCTTGGCATCAGCATCCATTCAGATTTCTCTAAAGATATAAAAAATCAGAGCCATACAACATTCTTGAATCATTACCAAGAAAGGCAAGACTTTCATATTTATCAAACTCATACATTAAACTTTAATTTTCATCTGTAATCTTTAGACCTTTGTCTTGCCATAGCTAGTAATATTTTAATTAAATTAAAAGTCTACTCACAAAGTAAAAAAAATATATTTTTGACACCTTTCTCTAAGGAAAATAATAAGCCATGTGATGTGTGGCTAGCCATTCTGGTAATCTGGTATGTCCTGGGATTTCCAGTGATTCAAACCATTCATTCTAAGCTGGAAAAAGACTACAAAGCAGGAAGTGAGGAAATTAACAATAATGAGAATCATCCAAAGAGCAAGTTTATTCAAGTAGCCCTTGGACGAAGCCTTGGAAACAGCACCTTTCACAGTTACAATGCTTTGAAAACTGGATCAAGTGTTGTAAGGAGAAAAGTAGACAATTTGTCAAAATATTATGTAGAGGTTGAACTAGATTAACTGAAAGAGTGAAACTAGAACCACAGCCTCTATATGATTAGATCATTTCTGCCGAGGTACAAAGATTACAGTAAACTATCTCTCAGGAGACACAAGGGTGGCAAAATGAAAACTGCACAATCTTGACACAGTGTTAGGATAGAAAATATACTAGAATAGTTACAAATATAAGCGACCCTTAATCCTATGCATATGACAAAAAGAGAAAGTGAAAATAAAGGTACTTGTCTGTATAACGTTCAAAGAAAAGACCAGATTGTGACAAAGCACATAGTGATGTAGTATGGAGGAGAGTCTGAAATCTTGGGCTGGAATACTGGCCTTGGCATTTACCTACTATGACCTCTCTGGGCAAATCAGCCTCTCTGAAGCTTAGTTTCCTTCTCTGTAGAATAGGAATGAATCTGCCCTACTTATCTCATAGGGTTACTGTGAAGGAAAACACTGTTTATCTGAGTTTTTATTCCCAGCAAATTCTGAAAGCAATCCAGTACATGTTCATAAAAAAACAGCAAGAGTGACCTGGTTGGTACCTCTGTTTTATTTTGCTGTTATTTAGATACAGATCCTTATTTTTTTGTTATAATTATATAAAAATCAGCACTTTTGAGAAGGCTAATCTGTCTTTATTTTGCTCTTCAAGAAATTACTTGCTAATTTAAAAAGACATTATTTGGAATAAGAAGGTGTCTTGTTTTATGTGGAATGAAAATATTTTGGTTTAAAATTCTGGGCTTCCTCCAATATCTTTGCCATAAGGATTTTCCTTCAAAACTGCTTAAGGTAGCCTTCAAATCTCAAAGCTGACAGAAAATAAAAACTTAAAGTGAAGCTAGAGATTCTATTCCAACAAATAAACCACAGCTTGGGGATTCTATAATACCCTGTCTGGGACTCACTTTCCTCATTTATAAAACGAAGGGAGATATTAGATTAAGTGATCTCTAAAGACCTCTACAACTCTAAATGCTGTCATCTTAAATGATTCTTTTTCTAGAAATCCTCACAGGGTAACAGATTTTTATGAGAAAAATTTAGGAATCCTCACAGGAAACACCACATAGGAGGCATCAAAAAGGATATTAGGATGCCAGAGAGTTCAGAGCAGAAGAGAACAAAGATGTCTTCGAAAATAAGAACAGAAACAAGGAAGAATGGGGAGGGGAGAAGAATGTGCCTGTTTAGAAGTAAACCTGCTCAGAACAGACAGCTCTCCTAAGATGCTCCTTAAGACTCCTTAAGTCCATAGAAAAGTTACAAATACCTTTTTTAGTACTGTTTCTTTTTTTAAAATTATTTTTATTTATTTCATTAAACATTTCCCAATTATATGTAAAAATTTTAATAAAAATTAAAAAAATTTTTTTAATTTCCAAACTCTCTCCCTTCTTCCCCTCTCCTTGAGAAGGCAAACAATTTGATTTTGATTACACATGTGAGGTCATGCAAAACTTATTTCCATATTAGCCATGTGGCCAAAGAAAACACAAACAAAAGAAAATAATAAAAATAAAAAAGTTTTTAAAAAATGTGCTTCAATCTGCACTCACAGTTCATAACATTATTCATCATGAGTCCTTTGGAACTGTCTTGATCAGAGTGAAAAAGCTATAAATACTGAACCACTTTTCCTCACTGTCTTTCTTGCAAGAAGGTCAAGGGACCAAAAAAAGCAATTCTGTGTCAGTCACTCTGACTACATAAATATATTCAGTTGTGACAGCTAGTGAGGTGAATCCACTACATATTTTGCTCGTCAATTAAAAAAAAACCCAAAAAATCCATACTACCAACCAGAGACTCTCATGGATGAGTCTTAAGATCAGTGATGGAATTCCTTTCTTTTGACCATCTTATATGATACTGTTTCAGTCATCCAAAAAGCTACAAGAAAGGTTTTGTTCTCCATTTTTTCCCAATTATTTAAACTTAACAATATTATTAAAAGATGTATGGCTGTACCTTTTTCTCTAGAGAATTACTCCATTCTTTCAGTAAATTAACATGTTGCACTGCTGAGCTGGCCTCATGGGTCTTAATTTGCTGATTTGTTCCCTGTGAGAACAAAGAATATAAAACATTAAAATCAAGTTTACTGTTTTAAAAATATATAGAAAGAATGCAATACAAAACTATAAAACCAATACTAAATCTGAATGGAGGGAAATCTGGTCATATAAAGTTAATAAGAAACATTCAAATCAGGAGAATAGATTTTAATGGCAAATATTAGCCAACTGAGCTAACTGACATGTTTTAAATATATGGGAGCATAGTTAAGGGAGGGTACTTAAAAAATAAAAATGTTTTATAACTCTACATGTGAATTTGGACTAATTTTCTCCCCATCCTCAAAAGACAGAACTTTCTTTTGAAATAATTAATTTATAATCTACTTCACAGGAATGAACATTTTAAATCACAGGTTTTTAAAAAATATTTTTTTTCACTGATAATATAAGAGGTACATTGCAGTCATAATTAGATACTGCTATAATAGTATGTTGAAACACAAGTCCAATTAGGATCAAATTAACGGGTATATTGTAACTAATCTACCAAGAGAAAACAATTTCTTCATCAAAAAAATCAAGATTTGCTGCTCTCACACCGCCTAAAGATTTTGGTTATTATAAAGATTACATACAAACGTATATAATATACAGAGTACATAAGATGTAGACCAAATCATTGTCTTTTCCAAGCACAGGTGATGGTAATTCACTTACTTAAGAAATGAATTTGTATGAAAGTCTATATTGTTTTAAGATTCAAAATTTAAGAAGCCACTAGAAAAATGCTAATGATCTCCAAAACATATACTCTGTATACAGAATATTTATATATATATGTCGATATACATTTAGATATATACAAACATATATATGTACACAAAGAAAATGAATGATAGTACGTAAGACATAACAGTGGTTAAGGGTCAGCATTATTATAGAAATAAACAAAGAGAAAACTATAGATAATTCTTAATTTTTTACTAATGAAATATTGATTTCTATCATACTAAGGTAGAATTTATTTATGGTATATTACAATTAAGTGGAAAGTATTTTATTTGAAATAATATTTTCCCTTCTCACAGTTTTAGAACATCAAAATATATATTTAAATGAAAACTCAATCCAAATTTGCTGGCCATCTCAGACATAATTAAAAAAACAAAAACAAAAATAAAAAACAGGTTTCTCACATTACATATGCAGCAATAACATAGTATGTTCTTACCACACTAGTACATTGTATGTGTGAGTGTGTGCTTATCAGTAACTGTCCTACATGTTACCTAATCTCAGAGGAAATGTGGTGTTAGGGAAAGAATGATGGATTCAAATCCTGGTTCTAAATGGACCCAGTACTTGTATGACCCCAGGCTGACCACTTCTCATCTGTTGAGACTCAGGTACCTTAGATAGAAAATGGGATCATCATACCACTACGACTTACTTCCATGGGGCTGTTGTGAGGAATGTGCCTTATAAACCTTAAAGCATTATAGAAATGGGAAGTGTGGTAATCCAAACTAAACCTACCTCTAGATTAGTTATGTTGAAATCTGAGTAAGTACACACATATATGTGAACATTCATTCTTCTACATATATCTATGCATGTTTGTGACCTATAGTTTTCCATGTATTACTTTACAGAAATGCTACAGATGCTGCAGAAACTAGAAATGTCCATATAGGTTCAATGTTTCTTTTCAAATAAGTTAAAACTCCTGTCACAGACTCTCTAGAAAATCCCAAAATATAATATTAGTTCTTTTCTTTTTGAAGAGATAGCAAAAGATGTTTTTACTGTAGAAGTTATGAATGGAAGGACAACTTCTACCTCCCCAAATCTGATGCCTCAAGACATCACAGGAATAAAGAGCAGACACTGAGACCTGCTGCATACAACTTAACTCATTCATACAACTATATGTTTCTGCTTCCTTATAAAGACTAGAGGAGCCCAGAGATTGCATATTAGAATGTCAATATAAGTTTCTCTTATTGCAGACTTTCAGCAATTGAGAAATATAATCATTATATACTGACCTGAAAAGTGCAGCCATAACGCTTAAAACTACAGGTACTTGGGGCATTAATACATTCTGACAAATGTGCATTCAACTGCAACGGGAAAAAAATGTGAGTTTTGGTACAAACGTTTGCATGATAATGCTCAAACATATTAAGGGCACAGATCATCTGGGTTGTATTATTAAGAATGGTGTTTCTAAATATACAAGTGTGTATATTATCTGCTTGCTAGACTCATATGCAGCAATATACAGTATATCCACATGTATACACACATATAGTAATATACAGAAATACATTTAATATAATTATTTTTTAAAATTGTAGTTTCTCTAGAACAAATTGTTCAAAATGTGACAAGCCATCTGCAATGCCAGAATTAAAAAAACAAAAACAAAAACAAAAACCCAAAATGAACATTTATGGACTAGAAATGAAAACTGCATGAAACACAGAAATCTCATACAGTATTTTAGGATGCAATTGGATCACACATCTCATATACAGTACACAAGAACACAAAGTGAAAAATATTTTCAAGGCAAGCTTACACAATGTACCATTAATCACAGGATCATTAGAGATGAGTTTTTCCTCTTTTGGGAACATTGATTTCTTCCCCAATGTAGCCTTATAATGACTTTTGACATTTAATTTTTAAAAAGAAACCCAGAGGTAGGGTTGTTTTTTTTTTAATGTGGATCTCATTATTGCCAATATTTCAAAAACTAAATTGTGGTGAAAATTCATATGAATTGGGAGAGGAAAACTCATCTTTTGGCAAAAACCCTGGTTTGATTGAAATGTTCTTTAAATATTAAATCAAATTACTTTGTTTCCCACACAAATGATTACAATGATAATATTTTAAAGGTATATGTTATTAATTTTGCTATGCATAATCTTAATGTAATGACCAAGAATAACTTCCTTAAATATAAAAATTCACATTAGAAAACTCAAGGAGTACATTTCAATCATGGAAAATAATTACACATCAAATCAGGGACAATGGTACACAGAAGTGCAATAAAGAGTCACGGTAGTTTTTGGTTTTTTTTCCCCCTTCCTGCTCAGCATAGCTGAGGAGCTCTTAACTAATCTCACAGTTTTTCACATATATTAATAAGTACAGATTTATTTGCTAGGACCAACTCCTGGTTTCCCTAGTACACAGATGGTTTATTCTTTACATGCTAGCACTTACAGCAAAGGAAGAAATGGTACCATTCATTTATGACAGAATTATGAGATAATTTACAACTTATCTGTTGACCCTTCCCTCCTACCCTGCCCCTTAATAGTTTTAGAATGAACAGCAACAGTCATGGACCTGTCCAGAAATCATTTTTGCAATGACCACTGCTGAATCAACCTTTTTTTTTTAAAAAAGGTAATGTGTCAGCACAAAATAACATTTTGTTAAGAACTGACTAATATAACTTAGAAATGTTTTTCCTTAAGTATTCATGAACTACAGTATAAGAAAAAATGGCTAGTAATCTCATTTTACATTATCAACATTTTTGGAATGAGAAAACAGATGGATAATGGTAGCAACAAAATACTGTACTATGTACAATTATGCATCAATATATCATGACATATATTTAATGCTGCTTTAAGAATGATCTGCATTTTATGAGAAAAATGTATCTGAATAATCATCCTAACTAATCTTTACAATATTAAATTACTATACTTCTTTAATATAACTCTAGGGCATAATTACATACTTTTTTATATTATTAAAGTATATTTTTATGTGTATTTTTATTCTTAAATGTCATCTTGTCCCTGAGTTGTACCTGAAATAATCATAATTATTTCTTCCCTTGGCACTTCCTGTTTCTGTCCCCACCACTGATGGCCCTAACATAAGGACAAATATGTTAAGCTAGTGAGTGCTGATTTTCTGCTGGCAAGACCATCCTTTGAACAGAATGTGCTGTTCATTCCCCCCAAGTGCCACCTGATTATTCTTCTCAGAACCCTGCAGAGCTCCACTGACTCAGCAGCAGTTTCTTCAATGAGGGTTGAGAGGAAATTAGAGAAATCAAATATCGCTTCCACGTAACCACCATTCATTAATACTAATGGACGTTTAATAAAAAAAAATGTCCAGGCCATATTACCAGAAACCTAAACTAAGTGGAAGATTGAGGTCTTAAGAAAAAAATTTAAGATGAATTTGAGACAAGATGGAGGCTGATTTTTTTACTATGTCCACTAACAGTGAGCAAAAAAAAAAATGTCCTTGAGGAAAGGTTGTGTGATATTTTATGTTTACATTTACTTTAATATGGGGTTAATTCACCCATATCCTAAAAAAAAAATACCTGATAATTTAGATGCATTTTTCTCAGACTAGAAACTATGTGGAATGAATAGAAACTGCTATATACATATAAGTAAAAAAGACCCATGGTCCAGCTGATCTGCTATCCTAATAACAAGAGACAATATCAGAGATTTCAACTATGGCTAGTTATTGGGAAAATGAGTCTCTGATGTCCTTTCACCTCGTCTTTGATCATTGAATTCCCATGAGGTTGTATGTACCAACTTCACAATGTGTATTGTGTCTCATTCTTCCATAGACTTTTCTCTCTCAAACTATTCAGTTACCAGAAATAAATCTGTTAAAACTAATCACTGCTTAGGTGTTGGCTAAGGGATATTTACATTTTAACAGACAATACTGAGTCCAAAAGGCCCTTAAAGTCCAAAGGAATTAGTCTCTAGTGATGGAATTTCAGGTCCCTGTGAGAGATATTTTGAACTATTGCAGCCTTCGTGGAACCTCTTCAACCTACACATACACCCACGACCACTTCCACTAATCCCCTGGCAAATTGCTTCACCTTTCTGAGCCTCTGTTTTATTATCAGTAAAGTGGGGATAATTTTACTTGCACTACTTGCTCCACAGGGTGGTTGTGAGGAAAATGCTTTGTAAACCTTAAAGTGCTACAGAAAAGTGGATCGGCAACAGAAAGTTAGATTTCTCCCTGACTGTCAGCTAGTGATCTACTTTACACAAGAATGAATAAGGTCCTAGAAATGTTATCCAAGATTACTCTGATTTTATTAAAATGAAATATCTTAAAGTATATATTCATCTCATGTATCATTGACAAAACAACTGTGATATTACTCTATTATTTGTAATCCTGTAATTGCCGCCTCTAAAACACAATGACAGAGGGAAGCTGGGTATCAAACAGAACACTGCTGGGACGTGGAGGCAGCAGGGATGGAGAGGAAGGAGCAGCAGCTCTGATGTCAAGAGGCTCAGGTTTTGAGCTCCGGCTCTCCGTGGGAGCGGAGCAGGAGGCTGCTTGAAACTGCAATGAGCCATGGACTTGAGGAGGAACCTGGGTTTGAAGCCCATCTCTGGTACTTGCTGTCTAACACCTTTGAGCCTCAGTTTCCTTATCTGTAAAATGAAAGGGATGGACTAATACTGCCTTCCAGTTCTAATATTCTATGAATCTGATGCTCCTCTAGCAAGCGTTAATTGTGTACCCTCTTCTATAAAAAGTCTAACTGAAAATGGCCTTTTAATATTACTACGCTACTCTATATTCTCAATATAATTCTATAGAACAATTCCACAATATTAAATAAATATATGTAATATATACACATGTGCCTATATAATGCCACTGATATTATTTCATTTTTAAAGTGTTACTTTTTCCCTGAGTTGTATCTAAAATAATCATAACCATATCTTCTTTTGGTACTTTCAGCCTTCTATGTATTTACCATCTTCCCTCATTTCTCTATTCTCAGCATTTATAGGGACATAGAGAAGAAACTCCAGCATTTTTAACCAAAAGAAAATGGCCTTTCCACTAGAAACTGGAAAGGGTCTTAAAATTCTAGAGCTAGAAGGGATCTTCAAATATAGAATGTCAGAGCTAGTAGCAATCTCAGAAATAGTCCAAATAACTCATTTTAAAAAGGAAGAAATGGATCCCAGAGATGTTGCAACTTGCCTGAGTCACACAGGTCGTTAGTAGAGCATCAAGGAAGAGAACACAGGTTTCTCAGTCCCCATCTAAGTTTGTCTCCACTAGAACACTGTGACCTCAGGGCCTTTAATCACCTGAGCTGATGTTTTTGAGCATTTTCTTGAAAAAATTAGATTAGAAACTATTTGATTTTTTATTTTATTTTTAAATTGAATGACATTCCAGCTGCCATCAGAATTCATAGCTTTCATTCAAAAAGAACTCTATGACATTGGTGTTAAAAGTCTAGATTCCTCACATTCTAGATGACTTCTTATGTTACTGAAACTCTTGGGGTAAGAAAAATCCAGTTTTTAACAGTGTCATCAAATTTTATTCATTGTCTCTGATGAGATGATACAGATGAAGCAATGGAAAAGATGTACCTACCACAAATTTACTTTTAAAAGGGATATGCAATGAATTACATAAGGAAGCAAATTAACATAGGTATATTTTTCCCCTACTCAAAGGAAAAACATTTTTGTAAAACCATTTTTAAAAATTATAAAAACACATCTACCCACCACTATAATGTTCAATCAATTTCATATACTTCTACTTCACAGATTAAAAAGCAAATGAGTTCTACAAAAGCTAAAAAGATCTTATAATATAATCTAAACTTCTAAATCTAATAATATTGAATAAGTAGCTATTTACAGTTTAAACAATTAGTAGAAACATCTTACCTCACTCCTCAAAAGTGTCTGAACACTACATTTATGTGGGCATGAGACAACAACACATGGACAGTCTGTATCTTCATGTTTCTAAAGAAAAGAAAAGAAAATTACTGTGAACTTCTTAAAAAACAGTCTATACCTACTGATTAGCCAAGAATTTTTAACCAAAAGAAAAATAAACTTCCTACTACAATCATTCAAATAAAAACTATTTATGTAATAAATGGAATTTGATGCAAATGTTATTTTTATATAGTATTTATTATTTGAAAATGGTTTGAGTTTGGCACAGTGATTCCTGAAAAGCAAACAAACAAAAACTAGACATCATCTTAGAAGATACAACAAAATATTGCTAATGAGAATCAACCTGTATGAAGGCTGGTATAAATGATGAAAATATATATAAGTTATGAAACACTTGCAAAGAAATACAATCTTATCATTTTGGCCATGTAGTAACAGCAAGGGATGACAGGTGGACAGTCAGAGTGCTCCAGTGGACCCCTTACAATGTCAGGAGAAAATGGGTAAGGCATCCAGCATGTTGGCAGGCTGGCTATGACAACCTTTTGGAAGAACATGGGCAAGAGTCAAACAGGATGGGTAGGCATGGACAGGTTGTGATCTGCACTACTGCAGGGAACTCACAAACTGATGTGATCACAGATCTATCTGAACGCATTAATCTGAAATTTATTAACTCAGACTTTGCTTACCAGAGGTACTCAGAGAAGCTCTTTCTAAAAGGATCTTTATTATCTGAAATATTTCATAATGTTGGACTAAATGAACTAGGCAAGATCTGAATGTCCCAGAATAATCCCTGACATTGGATAAGCAAAGTTTCAAGAAATTAGTCGTTCCTTTATAGAGCGTAAGGGGAAACTACTTCACCTCAATGAAGACATAAAAATCCTGATTTACTCAGAATTCAAATAATCAATTGCCTTTACAAGTCAATTATAGTCACATTATTTATAAAATGATGGGTCTGTGTATTTGAACATATCCTATACTGTTCCAGTACTTCAAGAATCCATGGTTTCTTTGGTCCTCTCCACCAATGTAGATGACAACCAGCCCCTCTAGGTCTTAGATGGTCTTCATGAGTTTCTGTGGCTAAAAATATTGATCCCCTTGATGGCTGATCATCTGGTGATGAGGCTTCTAAAATCAGCTTGGCTGGTCTTCAGATAAAAGATGCAGTCTGTCATTGGGCCTATACTCAATTAATCAATAAGCATTTGTTAAGTACTTACTACGTGCCAGGTATTGTGCTAAGCATTGAGGATATAAAGGCAAAGCAAAAAAAAAAAAAGATTCTGCTCTACAGGTACTGACATTCTAATGGGGAAAGCAACATACAAAAACCAGAACATACAAGATAAATACAGAGTAGAGAGAAGGTAACCTTAGAGGTGCAACTAACTAGCGGCTGGCAGGACCAGGAGAGGTTTCCTGGATAATGTAGTACTTGAGCTGAGTCTCAAAGAAATAAGGATTCTAAGAATTGGAGTCTGGGAGGTAAGAAGTCCTAGCTTGATCGGACCTGACAGAGCTTCATATCCTTACAGCACAGCCTCCAAAAATCTAGGGTCACTTCCATGCCATGATGAGGCACCAGAAGAAGACTTTAGTGATATGAATTATCCTTAAATTAATATTTAGAAACCTCAAATAGAAACATAATGTCAAAATTCAGAGAACTCAATGATAAATCTCTTCCCATACTAGTTATGTTCTAATAAAATAATCAATAGACCAATTAACAATTTCCCAAATATTAAATATAGTAAGCATGAATCTATGAACCAATCTCCTTAAAATGTCATCATAAAAACATAAAGATTATAAACAGGCTATTCATTTACCTATAATTTTACATAGCACAGTTCTAATACTGTCCCTGCTAAATTAACATAAGTGAACCTCTAAAGCTTTCCCAAAATATACAGCTCAAGGTCGTGATGAAGAAGTAATCATAATATTATTCAACTCATTTGTTTTTGGTTTTGGGTTTTTTTGGCTAGGCAATGGGGTTAAGTGACTTGCCCAAGGTCACACAGCTAGTAAGTGTTATGTGTCTGAGGATAGATTTGAACTCACATCCTCCTGAATCCAGGGCCAGAGCTCTATCCACTGGGCCGCCTAGCTGCCCCTTTATTCAATTAATTTGGAAGTGAATTTGAAAAACCAAAATTTAATACTACTCATAGGTTTAACTCTCTATGATGGCATCAAGATATTTCTAATAGATTCTAGTAGATAATTTATCATAGACATAATTCATTGGTACTATTCCTATTTATTAATGATTGAATTCCTCTATGTGGATATTACTAAGGAAATAACTACCCCCAAGTGAATTACTGATCTTCTACAAACCTAAAATAAAATACTTTAATTCTACTGTTGCTGAAAAATGGATAAATTTCTTTCATAAAAGATGATCACCTCTTGTGACCATATGAAGCCAAAGAAAGAGTTGGACACATAAATTCATCATGACAATTCCCAAGATTCCCAGGGAGCAACATTGAGGCCACTATCTCAGGTCACATTTGCTTTAGAGTTTATTTTATTTTATTTTGTTTTTTTTTTTTTGTTTTTGTTTTGTCAGGCAATCGGGGTCAAGTGACTTGCCCAGGGTCATACAGCTAGTTAGTATCATGTGTCTGAGACCGAATTTGAACTCAGGTCCTCCTGACTCCAGGGCCAGTCCTCTATCCAATGCGCTGCCTAGCTACCCCTGCTTTAGAGTTTATAAAATGCTTTCCTTACAACAACCATGCAAGGTAAATACTGATAATATTATTTTATATTTTATAGATGACAAAACTGAAGCTCAGAAAAGGATAATGAGTCGCCCCAAGTCACATGCTTAATAAATTTATCAGAGCTGGGATTCAAGCCCCAGTGTCCTGACTGTAGGTCTGGGGCTTCTTTCACACTATACCACACCACACAGACTCCTGATTGAGATAGAATACCAACAGTAATTTCTTTGGCATATCAAAAAATGTAGCCCAAAGGAAATCCAAATGATCCAAGGATCATGTTTACTTAGTTCTTTATTATTATTATTATTATTATTTATTTTTAGGCAACTGGGGTTAAGTGACTTGCCCAGGGTCACACAGCTAGTAAGCGTCAAGTATTTGGTCTGAGGCCGGATTTGAACTCAGGTCCTCCTGACTTCAGGGCCGGTACTCTATCTACTGTGCCACCTAGCTGCCCCATCTTTTTTTTTTTTAAACAAGTTTAAAGTCTCTGAGGATCTCTCTCTCTCTTGGGTCCAGATGGCAAAGTAAAGATCCCTCCAGCTAGAAGCAGGATGGTGGAGAGGCTAAATCACTGTTTTTCCTGCCAGCACACCTAAATGGCTCCTTGCAGCTTCCACTCATTGCTCCTGGTTTAGCCCCTTTTTCACACGACTGTTTCTCAATACTTGAAAAGAGCTCTCATGACTCCTGGCTCAGACTGGTGAGCTTCTGCCTTATTATTGCTTGCCTTGTGCTACTCCCCTCCCTCACATGACCGCTGTGGTCCTTTTGAAACATTAAAGAACTGTAGAAATGCAAATATTATTATGACTATTATTTTTAGAAAAGAATCGTGAGAAAATCTGTTTGATGCAGAAACAAAATCTGAATTGCACAGAAGGTATGAGTAATTGAAATAGGAAAAAATTTCACCTGCAGCGTTATCATGGGAACTTGACTTTTACAGTACTGACATGTCGCTTCTCGGTATTTACATGACTTTTCTACGTGGCCTGGTAAATCTTTTCGCAGGATTTTTTCTTTGCAGTCAGCACGAACACATGGCAGTTCTTCAAACTGGCAATCACTTTTTAAATGTACCTGTAAGACAAAGGACAAACAATCCTTGCTCTGAGAGCCCATTCAACAGGAAATATGGCAAACAAAACGAGCACTGGCTTTAATCTTAAACATGTAGCTCAGATTTCCAATACTTACCATGACATCTGTGTACAGCTGCAAAGAGTAACAAACTGAACAGAGGCAATGACTTCCATATTGTGTTTGAAAATTATTCTTATGCTAAATTGTGCCTGAAGAACTATGCAAACCTGACCTCAGACACATAGTACTTACTAGCTGTGTGACCCTGGGCAAGTCACTTAACCCCACTGCCTAGCCTAAATAAATGAATAAAAAGTTAAAAAAAAAAAGGAACTATGCAGACAACATCCCAGGTAACCTTCTGGGGTGGGAAGCTACAGACCTTACTTAGCTGGTTACCACGTTCCAGTTTAAGTAATCTTAAGGCAGCATTTCCCAACCTGTGCTTGATAGAACCCTAGTTTTCTATACAACATAAATGGGAGTTCCAAGAATACTTCTAGAATAGTGATATTTTCTTCCTCTAAAAATTTAATATGAAATTATGTATTAATAACAATGCTTTAAGTGACATTTTTAGTATGTAAATAAGATTAATTTCAACTTTTTGCCTTCAAATATTCTAAATTTCCCTTTATTCTGGGGGCGTATAACATATACCTATACCCTTCGAGACAAAGTTCAGAGATTCTGTAAGTACATTTCAAGCCACAAATTGCCATGTGGCCAAATTAGCTTGAGAAACACATCTAAAGAGAAAATATTAAATTAATTTTATAGTTAATGAGAAATTAAATAATCAGCATTTTCATGAAGCCTTTAGGAATGGAGTTCAGTTTCCACATCTGAAGAGGAGAGGATTAAATGGGTGAACTCTAACATTCTGTAACTGTCATTGAAAATAGATTCCAAAAAGAGTCATGCAAATACAACAATGTAGATTTCTTTCTAGGCATTTCAAAATTTTGAAAATTTTTATGAAATTTAAGATTTGTTCAATATTTCTTTGAAAAAAAAGTTAATTTGGAACTCTGCTCAGAAAGTCATTAAACTACATGCCCTTTGACGTAGCTATACTATTACCAGGCCCATAGTACAAAGAGATCAAAGGGAAAAGTATTTATACATACAAAAATATTTATAGTTGCTTATTTTTATGGTAGTCAAAAACTGGGAGCTAAAGAAGCTCCCATCAATCAGGCAATGGTTAAAAAAGATTATTGTATACAAATGTAATGGAATATTATGCCATATGAAATAACAAAATGTACAGTTTCAGAGTAAATTGGGGAGACCTCTATGAACTGATACAGAGAGGAGGACTAGTATAACATAGAATAAAAACAGAAAAAAGCAACTTTGAAAAACTTTAGAACTCTTTTCAACACAATGGTGAACCATGAGCACAGACGACTAAAGACAAAGCATATCACCTACTTCCTGCCAGAGAGATGAAGGATTAAAATGTAGAATACAACATATGTTTTTAGACATGGCCAATGTGAGAATATGTTTTGCTAGACTATACATATTAGTTATATGGGTTTTATTTTTTCATTTTTTGGTATTGTTCAATGAGGATTGGGGGAGGAGATGGGAAGGAGAAAGAATATATACTTTTTTTGGTGAAGAATATATACTTTTAAAAATAAACAAATTTGGGAGGGGAAGGAAGGGGAGAAAAGCTAAAGTATGACCATATAATTTACACATCAAGTAAACTACATTAGGGGCAGTATGAGGTGGTAGTAGCAAGGACACTGCTCTTGGAGTTAGCAGACCTGGGTTGGAATTCTAAATTCATTATAATATAACCTGGAACAAGTCACTTCACTTCATTCCATTTCCCTGTAAAACCAGGATGAGACATACTATGGTCCTATAGTGCAGGACTACAGCAAGGAAAGCATTCTGTAAGCTGTCAGTCGCCATGTAAATGTGAGCCATTACTGGGTCACTGTAGTGGAAATAAACAGTGTCACTAAAGCCTCTTAGATTCAGGACGGTGGATGACTCAAACTGGCTGACAGTTCAGGTCCTAATGTCATGGGAAACAACATTGTAAATGGAAGCCACCCTGACTGTTTCACATTTTGGTTTTGTTTTTGATAGGTCAGTACAGACATGGTCTTACATAAGGCAGAGTTGATGATAAGAATTCCCAATTTGATGAGTAAACCTAGCCCCCTCTAGAGAATGGTTATACCTACTGGTAACTGGCACCTTGTGAAGAGAACAAAGATCATGATTGACTGGGTTTTCATCATTTAATTGGCTGGGACTCTGGTGAGAGGGGAGGTGGCATTCTTTTGTACTGGTCTATAAAGGTGAGATGATAGACTTGCTCAGTCCTTTTTTTTACCATTTCTTATTGTGTTTTTCTTTCAGAGTGACGCCCGGGGTAGAGTTACAGGTTAACAGTTAATGGTGCCTTTGAGGCAGAAGCACTTGGTGAATTGTATGTTTGTCCAAGTGCCCTAAGAGGAGAGTTTCTGGGATCTCAAATTCCTGGCTACCTCTTCCCTTTCTGTTTCCCTTTTTGAGAACAGATTAGAGACCAGAACCCTAATAGTAGACTTTCCTAGCTAAAGAGATGGCAGCAATTTGGGCAATAATAGTTACCGAAGAAGCATGGCTTACGTAGACAAGTGGTTGCCCACTTGGCCTAAGGGGGAGCAATATTTCTGAATCCTAATCTTCTATGTAGAGGAAATAGGATTTTAATTTCGTAGGTGGCCTAATGTTACAATGTATCTTTTAGCTAGAGAAGGGAAATTTCATGGGCAGTACCAGCCTTGAGAGTTGTCTAACGGATAACCCCATGTTTGAGGATTCAATGATCAGACCTTTTGGAGGAGGTGAAGAAGGTGAGGGATTTCCTGAATGGCATGGTTCATGGAAAAAGAAGAGGATTATTCACATGGACCCTGCATCTGGAGCACTAGCAAAAGAACTAAGGCCATTCATGGAGAGAGGGGAACCCTGCTGCTCCTCAACTATTAACATGAGTGTTTCAAAGAGTCCAGGTCCAATAGGAATGTGGTTTGCTAGTCCAGCAGCTCCAAAGATTGTTTGTCTTCTGGGGGAATCCATAGGAAAGGAAGTGTTACCAGTCTGGGAAAAATAGCAGGACCCTGTGAGAAAGCCAGGGATTCACTAGAATATTGGGATGTTCTCTCGCTTGAGAGCACAGTATACTAATAATGCTTTATGTGTTTTTTCTATATATGTTTTATGGACTCCAGTGGGTCCTATACGCCTATTCTATTTTGTTACCTTGAGTGTTTATATGGGCATTACCTTTTTACCCACATATGTGAAAACCTGAGCGTATGCTGTATTGGCAATTTTCCAGAGTAAACTCTGGGTAGGAGCATAATGAACCAAAGAGAGAACAGGACCCTCTTAGGTCAGCTCCTGTGTGAACCCAGAATTTTGGTGGTCGAGTCATATTTATGTTCCAGACAATTTAGGCTGTTCAAACTTGAAAATTATGTTAATGTTAAGGAATTCAACTTCTTAACATAAACCTGAATAATGGTGGTTCAATGCTCACCAGCAAATGTCCCAGGGTTAATTGTTCTGTGCATCCTCTGCTTTCATTTCTACAATATATTTGAAGGGCCAGAATTTCTCTCTTACAGCAATTATCCTTAAATACCTGAAATTGAAAGGCACTTATTTCAGAGGATTAGCATCACTTGAAGAAAACATCAAACATCAAATAAAGCAAAAAGCTTTTAATGAAATTATAAAACCAACTTTGAAGTGGACAACAACAGAGAGAGTTAAGAATCATCTAGATATTTTTGTGCAAAGTGAAGGAACTATTCCTGCTATGGAACACAATTAAAATAATCTAATCTTAACAAAATTTATTAAATGGCACTAAAGGAAAACCGGTCATAGGCAGTAGTAAGCTATTTAAAATACCAACATGATTGACTCTTCAGATGACATTACATAGCTAAAGGACACAAATATAATATGTACCCATTGCTAAACTTTTTCAAGTTAAACATATAACCAAATTTTCAGGAACAAAGCACTAATAAGGTTATGTAGAGATAGGCTTTGTTGTAAAAACAAAAAACCAGATGTAATAGAATCTTACTATACAGAATCTCAGAAGTGGAAAGGTTCACTCAGTTCAACACCCAACTCAATGAATGAATCTCCTTTACAATATTCTTGCTAAGTGGCCAGCTAGCTGCTACTGAAGTGCCCCCCACAACCTGACAAAGTAATCTGTTTTATTGTTGAATAGCTCTAAATATATAAAAATTCTTCCTTACATTGAGCTCATTTACTAAAAACTTCAGTGAATTTAGCCATAGCATGTTTCCCAGAAATATAAAAGCCTAACAGTACACATTAGTCTTGGGTGGGTGTTGGTGACAATTCCTAACATAAGCATCATAAAGGAATTCTCCACCACACAATGAGGAAGTGGAAGAACAAATTCCGTACTACAGAGGTAGATGAAAGTAACAAGGAAACTGAAAGTGGAACAATGATTATAACAAGAACAACCTAATGGAAAGAATATTGGCCTTGAAGTTAGAATATGAGTAGGAGTCCCAGCTCCAACACTTACTAGTTATCTCTCATCATTGATTTTCTCTGAGCCTCAGATTCCTTATCAATTAAACAGAAATAATACTTATATTACCTCCCCATTTGGGGGTAATTACGAGGCCAGCGCTTTGTAAATATGAAAATGTAATTACTATTTTTATTGTTATCTTGTAGCACTAAGGTTAGGGTTGTGCTCATGATAATTCATTCCTTTCTGAAACAGGTCATGATCACAAATTATTAAAAATTGGCTGCAAAGAGTAAGTTTACTCTGACAATAAAATGGAGTTTTAGCTTAGAAAAGAAATATCTCCTGGCTTTTTTGTTTGTTTGTTTTTAGCCTTAGTTAACATTCTTCACCACTTAACAGACTGTGAATTCAACTCAATTCATAAATATTTACTGAGTATTTACCATGCATAAGGCCCTGCTATTCACTGGGAAATAGTCTTGCTTTCTAATGACATTATCTGTCATTGGATTTTTGTTACTAAGAGTTTTAATTATATGTCTACTAAAGAAGATCCTGTGATAATCAAAAAATACACAGGAAACTCTAATTTTCTCCTTAATTTCACTGGGAAAGAAATAGAATAAATTGATGTCAATTATTAAAAATAAAGAAATTCAGAACCAGATAAAGGTCTATTGTAAATACAGCTTAAAAATCTCATGAACTTAAGGTACTAAAATCATCACAGCAGATACTTCAAAAGTATAAAGCAAATAATTTTACTTTTATTTTATCAGATTCTCTAAGTCTCTTGAGTCATATCCGGGCTCTTTACTGGAAAAAAAAATGATCTTACAAAGACAGCATAGCAGATAAAAGGTTGGACTTGGGAAAGAGGAAGAAATAGGTTACAATTCAGCCTCTGGCACTTACGAGCTATGCCTATGGACAAAACACTACGCCTCTATAGTCTCGGTTTCATTCATTGTAAAAAGAGCTAAATAGCACTGGGACTGTCTACCATAATGGTTTTTGTAAGGAGCAAATTTTAAAGTGTTATTGAAAAGTCAGTCATTATGCTTATTATGACTATTGTGAGAATAAATGAATTTGGGAGCTGAAAGGCATTTTAGATATCATGTATGGAGTTCAACCCCTTCACTTTACAGACAAGGACAATGAAAGACTGAGAGATGTGGTGTTAAGACCACTTGGTCTTTGGGTCCACAGTTGCATGGGAACAGACTCAGGGAGGAGGCATAACTAGCATATTACTAACAAAAATCTCTCTCTCTCTCTTCTTTCTCTCTCTCTGTCCTTTTCTCTCTCTCTTTATGCTGAGATATTATTAGAATCCATAAAACACAATAACAACAACAATGTTTACATTCCATATATTTATTTGGATTTGCTTTTCTGGCAGGTGAGTTTGTTCTTTAAGTTTTAAAAACTTCACATACAAAACATTCTCTTTCTCACCACTCTCCTTCTATGCCTCTCTGGTCCTAAGTATAATTATACTATTATTTTTTGATGATCGCAACATTCTAAAGGCTCGATCAATCTTTTTTCAAAATATTAAAAATTACATGTATTTTAACATATATTTGGAATTATATAATACATCATTTCAAATTCAGTATATCACTAGAAGTATTGAAGCAGAGGCTGAATGACTGTTTCGAGAGTGTTAAATGGGGATTCCTGCATGAAAGGGGAGGTAGAGGACTCACTAACCTCTAAGCTCCCAACCAAATATAAAATAGGGTTCAAATCTTTCAGTGCCTCTATAGTTTCTAAAACTGTGAATTGCAAAGAAAGTGGTAGAAGAAATTCCTCACACAGCGCTCCCTACAACTGATTCAGACCAAAAAACCCCAAACCTCAGCCCTTAGGATAGTGTCTTGCATATGATAGATATTTAATAAAAAATTACTGAGTATTCATTCAACAAACATTTACTAATCATCTATTATGTATCAGATACAGTAGCTGGTTCTGAGGATAAAAAGATAAACATTAAACAACACCTGCCCTCAAGGACCTTATAGTATAATATGGTGGAAAGAATATTAGTCATGAGGTAAAAAAGATGTGCTTTTGAGATCCTGCTCTGTCGCTTATTAGATATGGGACCATGGACAAATTACTTAAGCTTCTGTTCTGAACAATGAGATGGTCGGGCTGTATAATCTCTACGGTCCCTTTAAGTTCTACCATTTTGGAAAATTTCATCTATACTTGATTTGATTTGGGATTTGAATGGGAGGAGCGCTGATTTAAACTAATAAGTAAGATTAACCAAACTTTTGTGGTAAAATCAAAATATAAGATGGCATCAAATGTAAAAAAGATTACTTTCTTTTAATGTTTCAAAATATCTTTTCGTACAGATTCTATTTAAAAATTACAACCAAATTATTTTTAAGAAAATTTCACAAAGTAATTATAAAGAGCTTTGAAATACCTTATCTTTAATGATGTTTTCTTGACATGCTGTACACTTTGGACTTGGAGCACTGGAGAAAAACACACAGGTTAATTACATTACAGCACAACAAACCATTCTCAAAAATAACGTATTTTTTAAAATGTTAACAAATATTTTAGGACACAGCAACCTTCAAATTGATGCCACTTATTGAAAATCATTATGCTGAATTTTAATTGCCTCATTTGTCTTGCTGGTACTGCAGGTCTCATTTAAGTCTATTGTGAGGTGAATTGGGCATAAAATAAGATGCAATGCAAAGGATGAGCTACTACAGGGGAAAAAATATCAACGAAAAAAGTCTGCAAACTTTAAAAACACGAATTCATTTCAGCTCCCATGTACTTTTTGCGAGTCCCTTTCAACACCGATCAAAGTATACTTCTTTACAAAATCATAACTAAATACCTACGAAAGGGAATTTAGGTCATCAAATACCAGCATCATTCCATCTTGTGAATTATCTTTACTTTAAAAAAACTTTTAACATTGTATCAGATGGCTATTTTCTTTACTATATATTAAAAAAACCCAACGCAACCCACCTTCTAAAAAAAAATCTTATTGTTTCCAGTCTGATTTTCCTGATGCACAATTCTTATCACATCACTCCCCTGTTCAACGAGTTTTAATGACTCCCAATTGTCTATGGAATAAAATTTTAAAACACAGCCTGGTATTGAAGGCTGCCACAGTCTCACAGCCTTATCTCCCACTTTGTGCTGGAGAGAAATTAGAATACTCTGAATGCATGCATACTTTCCTATCTCCCTTGTCATTCCCTAAGCCTGAAATGCAGTCCTCCAAAATAATTTCTACCTGTTGAAATCCCATCCATCCTTGAAGGGTCTGCTAAATTGCCACCTTCTCCGTGACATTTTCCTCAGCTCTCCCATTTAGGAATTATAGCTTCCCTTCTCCAAACTCTCAAAACATTTTGTTTATATTTCTCTTCTGCCTCATCACATTTTATTTTGCTTTATCCTGTTTATATAACATATTTCTATTAAATTAGTTATAAATTCCTTGAGGAGAGAGAGAGAGATCAAGTCTTACTTATCTTGGGCTCCTCCTCAGAGCCTGGCACAATGCCTTTCACACTGTAGGCATCTGATGAATATTTGTTGAATTGAATATGAAAACTTAGCATTGGTTCTTTCAAAACAGTGATGCTTTTATTTAGGGGCAGTTTCTTTACATAATGAAGATGTGGACTAGTTGATCTCTAAAATCTCTCTTCATTCTAAAAGCCTATGTTTCTGTGCTCTTCTGCCCCCAAACAATAGACAAAAAAAGAGGGCCATCAGGATTGGTGAAAGAAAGACTAGAGAGGAAACACAACCTAGTTTCTATTTTTCCTTCTGAGTTTGTCTCCTTTAACCAGTCGGGCTATCACTTCCTGGCCATCTCTACACCAGGATGCCTCTTCTTAAAACACCATCATCACACCCCCTCACTCTCAACAAGAACCCTGGACGCTCACTTTTTTTTGGAAGCCAGACTCTGATAAGTGAGTTTTCACCTTTTCTTGCCTAGAACTGGGCTTCTACAGTACTTCCCAGTAATCTCGATGCTATTCTGTTGTGTGAGTACCCATCTACCCCTGCAAGTTCCTCTTTATGGACTGCCTCCCACCATAAGACAGCACCTGGTCCATAGGAAGTGCTTTCTTTGTTTTACTATCATCTATCTATCTTACAAATATGCATTCACTAAACACTGTATTTCCTGATAACAAACCATACCACACCCTCTACAACTACCCTTACCTGGTTATTTATAAGGTTCAAAGCCCACAAATCTCATATATACTTCTAAACAGGAAACAGATTCAGTAGATCAGATATATTACACCTTAATGATTTCCAAGCGATCTTCAAAAAAACTCTTCAAGACAAGATATTCTTCCTCTTTTCCTGAAGGGTCCTTCCCTTCACAAGTCCTACTGCAGTACCTAAACATGGCAACGGAAGTACTCCTGTGTTCCTGAGGGCCACACTAACAAGGTAGCCTAGGAATAAACTGAACTAAGCATCAATATTGTAAAATATCATAAAACTGATGTCCAGCATGTTGACCACTAAGGCTGAATTCTAGTGGCCCTTGAAACAAAAAATAACATTGAAAAAATGGTCTTCAGTACTGGGTTGTATCCTTCTGCTCCCATAGTGACAGTGACATAGTTATGAAAAAGGAGACAGAGGGTGCTAGGAATCACACAGTTCTTAGACTATCTAGAAATATTAATTTAACTCTAAACATGAGATCCTTGTCAAACAACCAATGATAACATAGTGCTGGAAGAATGGCATATTAATATTGACATTCATGATAGGGGAAAGTTGGAGCTTCATGGGAAGACAGTTCACAGGCTGTATTTGGAGAGGAAAATGGTAGAATTAGTTTTAGCATGTACTCAAAAGTAATGGGAAACATCATAGTATTGTTTCATATGATTACAATAACCACAAATCTTGAGGTAGTAGAGACCATAGAGGCCACTGAGTACAGCCTTTTCATTTTATAGCTAAGGAAAATTTAAGCAGAGAGACTTTGAGTGACTTGTCCAGTGTCATACAGATAGTGGCTGAGACAGGTTTTGAATCCAGGTCTTCCTGATTCCAAGTACAGTACTCATTCCACTATACCATTCTGCCTCTTATAGGATGCTTAGTGACCTTGAGTTGTATTGCTCATAATGAATGAACATGAGCAAAAAGATCAACATGAAAATATTTGTTTCAGAAGATGAAGAAACAGAGGAAGTCTATGAAGAACTTTAGCAAAATTTTCCAAAATAATTAAACATAGTATTTTTAATACTCAGTAGCTTCAATGTGGACGTAAGGGAGGATGGTGGGGGCAGCTAGGTGGTGCAGTGGATAGAGCACCGGCCCTGAAGTCAGGGGGACCTGAGTTCAAATCCGGCCTCAGACCAAACACTTGACACTTACTAGCTGTGTGACCCTGGGCAAGTCACTTAACCCCAATTGCCTAAAAAAAAAAAAAAGGGAAGGATGGTAAAAGGCACTGGATAATGTTGGTGAAGATCAACAGACAATAGAAGCCATGGGCTTGTAGACTACGCAGAAGTTTATGTATATATACTGAATACTTCCTTCAAGAAGAAAGTGAGAAGATGATGAACAAGGAGCTCATCAAAGATCATCACAAAAAATGAAACTGACTTACAGCTTAACAGACAGGAAATTACAGGTAATTGATGTGCAGTCATTTCTGAATTAGTCATGTGCTATGTGTACTGACTTGTCAGAGCAAAGATCAAAATCAATATAAAAATAGAAAAAAGAATAAAGATGAGAAGATATGATACATTATTACACAGCTCTAACCTGACTTGTTCAAATGAGCTTTGATACCAAAGAAAGCGAAATATATAAAAGACAATGACACTTCAACCATTTTTCAAAATGGAACCTGTGATGTCATTGGTATAGGAAATTCTTGGTGAGGAAAATCGTTCTACAATGTAGATCAGTATCTAACAGGCAATTTGTTGTCTTAGAGAGTCGCCTGGGGCAATGAGAGGTTAAATGACTTTTCTAGGGTCACACAGCCAATAAGAATGCATCAGAGATGGGACTTGAACCCAGATTTTCCTGACTGAAACTAGCTCTCTACACACTGCAACTAGCTGCCTCTATGAGCATCATTTTCTCATTAGTTTAGTCTCTGTAATCATCACAATAAGAATGCTGAGTCCAAAACTTGTCTGGTAGCAAATACTTGATCTCCTTGTGAAGTAGAAAGACATAAGAGTCAAAGTCAACACAAATTTGCAATATCTTATGGAAGACAGTTAAGGATTATGAGCAGCATGACCTCTAGGCCCAGCATTGCCAACTACTTTTAAAACATCCCAATCTGGATATCCTATCGATATCTCAAACTCAGCAAGTCCGACACAGAACTCATCATCTTTCTCCCCAAACCCTCCTAGTTTCTGAATTTTCCCATTAGTGTTGAGAACACAACCATCCTATCCTTCGAGTCATCAAGACTCAAAACCTTGGTGTCATTCTCTAGTTTCCACTTGTGATCATCTCATGTAGCCAATCTTTTGTCAAGTCTTGTCAATTCTACCTTCATAAAATCTTATGCATTTCCTTTCTCTCCATTTGCATTGCCACCACCCTAGTGCAGGCCTTCATTACCACCTTCATCACCTAGATTATCACAGTACCCTTCTCATTGGGTCTCCCTGCCTCAAGTTTCTCCCCACTTTAATCTATCCTCCACTAAGCTGCTAAAGTGACTTTCCTAAAGTACAGATCTAACCATGTTACCTCCTCCAAAATAAACTCTAGTGGCTATCTACTACTTCCAGAATCAAATATAAAATCCTCTAAGGCATCTAAGACCTTTTACAACCTAATTTCTTCCTACCTTTCTAGTCTTTCACTTTATTCCACATATTTTATAATATGGTGACACCAGCTTCTTACTGTTCCTCACACATGATATTACATCTCCTGACTCTGTACCTTGCTTTTTCACTGGCTATCCTCTGATGCCCAAAATGTTCTCCTTCCTCACCTTCATCTCTTGGCTTCCTTCAGGACTCAGCTCAAGTCTCACCTTCTACAGAAGGAGTTTCCCAGTCTCTTCCCTCCACTACCCTCTTCTTCCTACCTGCCACCGTCTTAGTGCCTTCTCTATGAGATTACTTTGCATTTACACTAAAATATCTTGTACACATAATTTTTTGCATCTTGTCTCTCCCATTAGAACATGAGCTGCTTGACAGCAGGGACCATGTTTTTGTTCTTTTTTTTTATCCTTAATGTTTAGAATAATGCCTGGCACATAGCAAGCACTCAATAAATACTTGTCAACTGGCCTACCATCTAAAGTAGCAAGAAGTAACATGGGGAAAAACAAATTTGCAGAAACCTTGGCATAAGACCCAAGTAGAAGGGAGACAACAAATAGGCAAGAAAAATGGAAGAGATCTGTCATCATTTCTATCACAAATTACTTTGCATCCACAACTGTATAAAAACCATTATATTTTAACATCTCAGTCCCTGAGGTGCTAATTAAGGAAGTGGAAATGGCATTAAAAAGGCAAAACAGGAAGAACGGCTGAGTGAGACAAACCAAGTATAGAGCAAAGAAGTATGTGCTGGAGGTAATGTAATGTGGAATGTGATCATCTGAATATCTGAAAGAAAAGAGAATTACCAAATCATGTGGCAAAACCACTGATTGTTTTATGAACAAAAAGGTATTAAAGAATTGAGAGAGCACCAATAGCCATTCACCTCTATATAGGCCTACTTTTTTATCTTTACAAAATCTATGAGAATGATCTACACACATTTTGAGGATCTCCTCAGTGAAGATATGAGAAGGCAACTGGAAGGCTTTTACTAATGATTTTCTACAGCAGACTACATCTTTCCAGCTACACAATTGATAAAAAGCTCAAAGAATACAAGATCTCACTGTTCTTATTGTTTGTTTATTATAAAAAAGCATCTGATTCGATAAAATTTAATGTGATCTTAAAGGCATTGCTCCATTAAAGGGGCTTCCATGATTCTGTTAAGCTCATACAAGAGTCATTGACAACAAGAAAGATAATTTTGTTCAACAATCCTCTGATAATTAAATGAAGTATAAGACAGGGAGACAGATGTATAATCACCAAAGGCGTTCACTTTTGTCTTGGTGAATATGCCAAGTCTAAGTGGAAGATGGGTTTATATATGTATATATATGCACACATATGTATGTATGTATGTATGTATATATGTTAAGATTCTCCAAATATGTGTACATACCTACATACATACATACATACATACATACATACATATGTATGTTAAGGTCCTCCAAATGGGTTTTTATATGTGTGTGTGTGTGTGTGTGTGTGTGTGTGTGTGTGTTAAGTTCCTCCAAATATTCCTATTTTCAAATAGCATCGTGGCCAATCACATCAAACCCCACAATACTACCACAGAGCTTCCTAACTGAGAGTCACAACTATTTCAGAATTCAATATAACAATCCATACAAGAAAAAGCAAATGGATGAAGAGTACCTATTACTAACATATGATTTACAGCTGGATGTGCTGGTCCATCAATACAGAGATCTTGGGCAGACACTGAAGATGGATAACAAAATGGGCCCAGCATTGAGATAAAGAGAAAGAGAACAGGCTGGGTTGTATTTGGAAAATAATGTGGTGCTTTCAAGGATACAAAGATGCTCCCTGAAACAAAACATGATTATTCTTCAAGTGATTCTACATTTCTACAAGTCAGGTAATGCCACAATTTTAGAAGCATCAAAATTTCAGGTGGTCTAAAAGGCAATGGAGAGACCTATGATGCATTGAATAGCACATATTACCAGTGATGTCTTTTGTGCCACCTTTTTATCATGCAGAAGATGCATTATCAGAAAAAGAGTTGGGCTGTTCAGGTAGCAAGAGTGAGAGATAATAAACAGTCGACCCAGTGTTACCTATATAATATTAAAAGAGCTAAATATGTTTATAGATGGAGGATTTATGGGAAGACATAAATAAGAGTTGTACAGGATGAGAAGGCATTCGATCTGTACCAAGGGAACCATATCAATTAGATACACATAAGTATTCAAAGAATGACAGATTTCTATTAACAAGAATTTTTAAAAAGGTTTATAGAAAAATTACAGTTAAAAATCAAAAGAAAGGTAAGATGTCATGGTAGACACTAAGAAAATTTTCCAGTAGAATGTACATATGTATGTCATTTCATACATATGGTACATGACCATTTTTTGGTAATGAAATATTTATAGAATATATCTGTGATTTTCTTGGCTACATGTGACATGCTCTGATTCTTTTATTCACAGAAAATTCAAATATAAAAGTAGATCTGAATAACATATTCAGAAGATAATTTTCTCTCTTTCCCCCGCACCTTTCATCTTCATCCCCACATGACAATATTGAAAATATGGATAGGTAACTGATTCACACTTATATTTGTCCTCCATAGCCTTCACAGATTTCTCCTTGGGGCCCCCTTGTTCTGAGTCTTAGCTGTCTTGGCCACACCTACTTCAGGAATCCATAAGGATAGATTAGCAAACTAGAGGAAGAGGCTTGCTGGCTTTAGGCAGAGATTTCCCAGCAATGTGCTCTTTCTTCTCTCAGGAGTTTTTCCCTGACCTTGTGGCCTGAAGGAAGGCCTGACTTTGACAGGTTCACAGCAACTCATCTTGCTCTGCAACTGCACAGATGGCACAAGGAAAGGCAAAGTGGCCCTGGCTCCTTGGAGTGGTGCCAAAGTAGTTGCCAGCCTCTTAAATCTATTCAGGCTGCAGACTGTACATGATTTTTAAATTTCTTTTTTTTTTTTTTGGTCTTCTCTCCTTTCCTTTCCCTTGAGAGGGTTTAAATCTGATATTTTCCCTGGACCATGGGAGACTTGATTCCTTTTCTTAAATGGTTTAAATGTTTAAATATTTACTTTTTTCCCTTAAGCCACTATATGTGATAAAAGTGCTCAACATTTGTGATTTTGTGTACTTTATTATTCAAATGTAGAGTAGCAATTAGGGAACCCCTGGGAAAGAAGAAAAAGTAGAGTTAAAATTTGTGGTATCTTGCCAGAATGCAATCTCTGGCTAGGAACTTCAGTTAAGTAAGAAAGAGTTAGTGATTCATTTTGACCACTTCCCAGGGCAGAGAGAATACTTCTACCTGGATTCCTAAAGCAAATGAGTCAGAAGCATGACTATGGCTGGCTAAACAGGTGTGCTAACACTGAGGCACCTAGTTTTTAAGGGAAAGCCTTTCCTCCAGAAGTGGAAGGGCTAAGACAGTGGCTAGAAAGTCACATCCAAAAAGGAAAGAGCACCCCAGACCACAGAAAGAAAGGCAAGCTACAGTGCCTGCCAATCCTGTCAGCCTGCAGCACCACCAACACAGCAAAGATGAGTTATGTATAGCTTATCAAATGCTGTTAATAGCTATAATTAGCATGTACACACACGTATAAATGGTTATTATATATATAATATAGCTATATATATTTGTTATATATGTGTGTGTACATATAGGTATATGTAATATAGCTATAGCTGTAATAGCTATAAAAAGAGCCAAATGCCTTCTACAAAGATAAAAATGATGTCTCAAGAATAAATGATCATTATGTGAACTCATTTGTATCGTCACACACATTACATTGTCAGAAAAAATGAGGCTATTCCATTCATATTTCAAAAGCTAACCTCATAAATAGGCTGGTTACTCTCATCAATGACATATCACTGGTTACATTCATCAATGATACATCACAGATGAGAAGAAAGATCCCAATTAAAAGATTCAATAAAGATTTTTCCTTTTGTGTTAAAAAACCGACAATTTTGTCTCATCTTCAATTATGCAAACAGGTTATCTTTCTCCATATTTTAATTGGTTTCTCCTAAAAAATTCCAAGAGCAGTCTCTGAGAATTTGATTGCATAGATTGTGTGTGTGTGTATGTGTATAAAAGCTGAAATTGAAAAAAGCATGTGTATAAAGATTGAAACTGAAAAATTTTACCTCAAAAACATCTAGTCCATGAATACTTTTGTTGACAGCCAGAAATACATACCTCAACAAGACATGCATGCAGGTTTCACAGAATCGGTGACCACATTCTGTCTGCTTAGGGTTACATAAAATGAGGTGACACTTTTCACACTTATATTTGTCTTCCACAGGCTTCACAAATTTTTCCTTGTATCCCCCTTGTTCTGGGACATAAATCGATACTCCAGCACCACGATCGGGATTTGCCTTTTGTTGTACAGTTTGCAATGGAGTAGGGGGATCCATCTTTTTACTGGAATCCATTTTAGAAGAGAAAAATTCTGCAGAAGAAAAAGAAAATTATACAATGAGTAAGTGAAATATTAACACGAAATCAGAAAGAGAAATCCTCTAGAATGTATGACACCTAAATTCATGGATACTATAATCTCTATTTTATAGACGAAGAAACCAAATAGCAGAGAGAGTGTTACTTGTCATGCCAGTAAGCTTAAAAGGCAAGATTTGAACCCAGATCTCTCCTGACTCCCAGCCCAACAATCTTTCTACTATATGATGTTACCTGTCAGTGGAAAAGCAGTGGTGCTGAAGCAAAAAGACCTGAATGTGAGTTTTGATTCCTCCACTATCCAGAGGTGTAACACTAGTTAAATCACCCAACCTTTTAGTTCCTCATCTGAAAATTGAGGATCTGATTAAATTTTAAAAACCAATTATTTTATTAAATATCTCTTATGTGCAAAGGCCATGTACTAGGCAATTCTTCCCCTCAAAAGACTTCTAGTAGAAGGAGTAATAGATGTATACAAAATAACTAGAATGTAATTAAACACATAAGAATATAGATTTACAGTACAGAGTTATAAGTGGCAGCTAGGTGGCACAGTGGACAGAGTGCCAGGCTTGGACAGATTTCCTGACAATCAGAATTATCCAAAATTGGAGTGAGCTACCTAGAAAAGTGATTCTCCCTCCTCTGGATGTGGTGGAGAGGCTTTTCAGCCATCCATGGGTTAGATATCATTGCATGGTCTTTGAGGTCCCTTCTGATACTCGGGGACATCACAGGAATTCAGGAGGACCTGAATTCAAATCTAGCCTCAGACACTTAGTAGCTATGGAACCCTGGACAAGTCACAACTCTATTTACCTTGGTTTCTTCATCTTAAAAGGAGCTGGAGAAGGAAACGGTAAATCACTCATTTGGCAAATAACTTCGCCAAGAAAACCCTAAATGGGGTCACAGAGAGTCAGACATGACTGAAAATCAACAACAAATAGAGTTGTAAGGGAGATGATCTAGTTCAACTTATTCATTTAACAGAGGAGGAAATTGAGGCTCCAGTTAGGTGGCTTGACCAAGTCACATAGAGAGTAGCCAAGAGGTCATTTGGAACCAGGTCCTCTGATTCCAAATCCAACACTCTTCCCATTACAGCACATATGGGAAGGTCAAACAGAAACAGATAAGATCTATGAAGATAGAGAGATCACAAACATAAAAGGGCAGAGGGACAGCCAGCTAGCAGCTTGTTTCAAAAAGATGTAGAGTTTTAGAGGCCTATAAGCTCAGTATGAATGTCACAGAGTAATACTGCAGCCAAAATAGTTAAAGCAATTTTACACAGCAGTGAGAGAGGAATAATGGCCAGAACTAGGGAGGGCATCACCCTTTGATACCAGTCAGACCAACCATATTTGAAGTATCAGTTCAGTCTTGGTCCCCACTATTTCAGTAAGTATATTCTGCAGCTAGAGGAAAACCAGGTTGTTGAAGGGCCTCGAGATCATGTCATATAAAGAGTGGATGAAGGAACTAGAAATGTTTAGCCAGGTGAAGAAAAGACTTAGGAAAACCATGCTAATTATTTACAAGTATTTGAAAAGCTCTTGCCTGGAAGGAGAATTAGATTTTTTTTTTGTTTGACCTCAGAGGGCAGAAGTAGGAATAATGGGAAGAGGATGCAAAGAGGCAAATTTAGGCCTGATATATGGACAGATTTCCTGACAATCAGAATTATCCAAAATTGGAGTGAGCTACCTAGAAAAGTGATTCTCCTCCTCTGGATGTGGTGGAGAGGCTTTTCAGCCATCCATGGGTTAGATATCATTGCATGGTCTTTGAGGTCCCTTCTGATACTCGGGGACATCACAGGAAGCTTTACAGAAGAGCCACGTATAGGAGCACCACCGGTGCTGTCTTGAAGGAAGTGAAGGACATACAGAGAGGTCTGGAAGAAGTCCATCCAGGTATGGGATATAGGGATATGCAAATTCAGAAGCAGAAGAGGGCACGCTGAGGTGGGGGAATAGTCCAGTATGAAAATATGATGGGGAAGAGTATGAAATTAGACTGGAAAGGGAGGTTAGGGTCAGACTGTGGAGGACTTTGAATGCCAATCTATGGAGCTTGGATTTTAGTGGGTAAACAATGAGGAACTGCAGAAGCCTTCTGAGCAGCAGAGTTACGTGACCAGACGTGGGCATTATGAAGATTATTATGAAGATGGGAGGAAGAATCACTCAATCAACAAACCCTTTTAAGCTCTGACTGTGACAGGCACTGTGCTAGGTGCGAGGGATATAAGGACAGGAAACTCCTCGCTCTCAATTAGTTGAGCACCTTATCAGGGGATCTAACACACACATATAAAAGTATATACAATACGTACACAAAATAAATCAGGTAGCCTGGAGCCAGGCTGCAGAGGCCTCTAAATGCTAAACTGAGGGATTTGATCCTGGAGGTAACAGAAAGCCACTGAAGTCTACCGAGCAAGAGAGCCAGGTGGTCAGATCTGTGCTTTAGGAATATCATTTTGGCAACTGTGTGGAAAACAGATTGGAAAAAGGAAATACCTGAGGCAGGGAAATGAATCAGGAGTCTGTTGTAACAGTCTAGATGAGAAGTGATGAAGGTCTGAAGGTGGTGATTATGTGAGTAGAGAAAAGGGGATGCAAGTGAAAGATGTTATGATGATAGAATCAGCAGCTGAGAGAGGAGAGATGGAGAAGGAAGAGAGACAGAGACAGAGACTGAAAAGACAGAGAGAGACACACAGAGACACAGACAGAGACAGGAAGAGAGAGGGAGGGAGAGACAGAGATGAGAAGAGAGACAGAGAGAAGAGATGACTTCAAGGTCAAGACCTGAGGTGACTGGAAAGATGGTGGTGTCCTTGGCAGAAATAGTAGGGAAGTTAAAAAAGAAGGGCAGGTTTAAGGGGAAAGAGAATTTAATTCTGTTTGGACTATGTCGAGTTTGAGATACCTATGGGACATCCAGTTTGAAATGTCTAAGAGGTGGTGGCATAAGATGAAAACCCATGGGGCAGCTAGATGGTGCAGTGGATAGAGCACTGACCCTGGAGTCAGGAGGACCTGAGGTCAAATCTGGTTGCAGACGTATAACACTCACTAGCTGTGTGACTCTGGGCAAGTCACTTAATCCCGCTTGCCTTACAAAAAAAACAAAAAGATGAGAACCCAGAAGAGGAACTAGGACTGGATGTAAATTTGGGAGCCATCTACCAGTGATGCTAACTGAATTCATGTGAGACTTCAGAAGCAGAATAAAGGATCAGGACAAAGCCCTGGATACGCAATGAAGACACATGATATGGATGATTAATAAGCAAAGGAAGCTGAAAAGGAAAAGTTATTCAGGTAGGAGCATGAAGAAAAAGAAATGTCTCGAAAATTCAGATAAGACAGAGTATCCAGAAGAAGAGAGTAGTAAATTGTATCATGGCTGTATAGAGGTCAATAAGGAATAAGATTGAGAAAAGACCATCAGATTTGGGAATTAAGAGTTCAATGATAACTCTGAAGAGAGTAGTTTGAGTAACAAAGTAAGAAACAAGCTTGCAAAAGATTGAGGAGTAATAGTAGAGGTAGGGAAGCAAAGAGAGCAGAAAGCTTCTTCTAGAATTTTGACTATGAAAGGAAGGAGAGATATAGAATGACAACTTCAGGGAGTAGTAAGGTCAAATAAAGGTTTTTAAAAGATGTTGAGATCTGGGCATTTTTGTAGTTAAGCAGGGAAGAAGTCAGTAGAAAGGTTTAGAAAGGATGGTTGTGGGGGTAACCTGGTGAAAGACAAAGGAGGGCACATGATCAAGGGGGCAAGGAGTAAGGCCACTGCACCAGAAATTGGAATAAAAGAGAGAATGAAGGGATGATAAAGGGGTTTTGAGATTTAGAGAAGATAAAGCTCATGGCAAATAGCCTCTAAGTTCTTAGTAAAGCATAAAGTAAGGCCCTTTGCTGAAAGGTTGGTGGAGAGAGCATGTATGAAGTTTGAGGATATAATAAAAGGATTCAAACAGATGCTATGGAGAGTGTGACAGAGAATTGATTAAGAAAGAGTAAAAGGATTTTGCCATGATAAGGGCCCAGTTAATGTTACATAACATAAATCTGTAGCGTACCTAGCCCAACAGTGGACAGTTGCATAATTTTTGCAGCTCAGCAGCATGTAAGTATGAAATAGGTGGTGGGAATTATCCCAGGCTGTGCTTGTGCAACCCCACATATGGTGACAGAACAAAGAGGCAAGGTATTTGAGAGAGGAAGGTGATATAGTGCTGGGTCTGAAGTAGGAAGACCTCAGTTCAAAATGAACTAGCTGTGTGACTATGAGCAAATCACTTCAATTCTGTCTCAGTTTCCTCAACTGTAAAATGGAAGAAAATAATAATGCCTGCCTTCTCTCCCCTGGGTTGTTGTGAGGATTGAATGAAATAACACTTGTAGAGTGCTTATTAGCACAGGACCTGGCACATAGCAGGTGCTTGTTTCCTCCCACTCTCCCTCTCCTTCCTTCTCTCTCCTAATTCCATCCTCCTTTTAAGGAGGCTATAAACAGGAGAAGAGGAAGGGCCAGAGGTTACCTTTCATTTGGTGTTGACGCTTTCCTTCAGTCTGCCCTCAGGAGAGTCTTTGGAGAAAGAGGATCCTGTTTTCTGAAATACACCCTAAAGGCTGAGGCCTCAGATCAATGTTCCCCACCCTCTCCTCCTCTAGGCCTCACTAAGAGTTGTGATGAAAAAAGTTCAATGCCCTACTTCAGCAAAAGGGGCCATCCCCACATCAAGTCACCAGGGTAGAAATGGGTAGGTATGGGTATTGAGGAAAAATCAACATGCCTGTTGAAGGCACCTAGTATATAAGAGTGGAGAGGAAAACTATGAAACAGGTACTAAACTCCTTGAAAAAAAAAAGGAGAATGCCTTGGGGGAAGGATCAGTAGATGGCCACCAAGATCTGGATTGGGTGAAATATTTGGATATAGTGAACCTCAGAGGAAAGTTTGCTGAAT